ATGATGGCCTCTACGAGCTCAACAAATCAAAAGAAGGACATTCACAGTTTGTTTGTTTACCATTCTGATGTATTTGGTTCATGTAATTCCTGAAAACTGCAAAAACTTCAGGAGGAATGAGAACTGCCTTTGATATACATTTGAAAACAAATCTTTGAATACCTCTATGGAAATGAAAAAATAATTCAGAGCTAATTGATTATTCTAGATTCCGTCAGTTACAAATGGTGGGTGATAATAGAGTATCAGAAGTACAAAATGATTTAAAAATAAAAACATTTGAATGTGAACGAGCTCAGATGGTATATGAAGAGACGTTGAAGAATCTAAAAGAGGCTCAGATTGATATTGAGAAGATGCAGAAGAAGAATGAGGTAAATTTTAACAGAATTTAGATTTATTGAATGTTTGTTTGACAGTGACATTTGGTTTTATAGAGCATAGAACTTCAATGAAGAACATTTTGAAATTGTTTATATTCAAGCTTTGTGACCTTGACTAGGGTTTTGTGACCTTGACTAGGGTTTTGTGATCTTTGACATTTTAAGGCAGTTTATTAGCCAATTTTGTACCAATTTGTATACATAATCGATAGTAGCAATTGAGTTCATATTCTGATAAATATTCTGTTTCAGGTATTAACAAAAGAATACTATACATTACAAACATCGTTTGAAAAACAAATGGTATCATTAGAAGCTGATGTATCAGATAAAACAGCTAAATTAGATACATATGAACGTTTAGAACAGGAATTAGATGATGTGGTCATGCAAGCAGCAGAAGGTAGTTAAAAATATTGATATATATTTATTTCAGGAACCTCGAAAATACCATTGTCTTGTCATCTAGAAAAAAGCAGCATCCCTAGCAACCCTTATCTCTTTGAATTATAGACCTGTCTCTTTGAATTATGGACATGAACTGATTCCCATCAAACAATATATTTAGATATTCTTTGATTTGAAATAAATAAATAGGAGGTTCTGAAGGTCAATAGTACATTTCCATGAACAGTTTGAATTGGGAAAAATAAGTTACAGATACCTTCTTGGCTAGATTTTCCATATGAATCAGAGCATAGGGCTGTATTCCTTTAATTTACAAGTCAAGAGACCATTTCTTTTATTTTATATCAATTCTTATCTCCTATTTGAAATCATTTCTTCTATTTCAGTTGAAAATGAGGCTGAGGCTGAGAAAGTTCTATTTTCCTATGGTTATGGTGCCAATGTTCCCAGTAATTCTAAAAGAAGATTACAACAAAGGTTTGTAGTTGCAATTTCTAAAAATAGTGGTGTTATCCAAATTTTCATGTAGAAATTCTGGATAGGAATTATTCTCTATTTTTTATAAAAATAATTTTGGACTAGCTATATTTTAAAGGATTATTAACATGTGAATTTATTTAACAACAGTGTACATCTAGCTAGAAGAGTAATACAGTTAGAGAAAGCTAATACTTCTTTACGTCAAGAAATAAACAGAGAAAAATCTAAATCAGATCAACTTACTGTGGAGGTAAATACATCATAATTTTTAGAAATTTTTTTACTCGTGATTGATGAAATCAAGCATTTGCTGTTAAGGTATTTACTTTCAGAGAACAATTCCGTTATATTTCGTTGCATTTAACTGTTAGCTTCTTTGAAGCACCAGCGTATGCTTTAAAATATGTGAAATTTGACATCAGTTTTATTGTTATGTTTGATATACATAATACAGCATATTAATGTCATCACAAATCACACATGGTTAGCATTAGTATCTGTCATGTGCTACAACTAAGAAATATTAATGTTCAATGTGTGGTGAAATGAAATTTGTATCTGAGAAGTAATATATGTGTTTTATATTGTAGATAAAGAGCAGTAATGAACTATTAAACCATGCTGAACAACCATATAATTATCTCATAGAAAGTATACGAGTTAGAGATCATACTCTGAATCAACAAAAACAACATATTAAACAGATAGAGGAAGATCTCCGGTGAGTTATTGACCTCCATTGTTTTTCCATTGGTCAATAATTGGGCAGTACCAGGGCTGCAATGCACTCTATTTTATCATAATGAAAAAATACTTGTGTTCATGGCATAGTTCATTTTGTTTTAGAAATCTTGTACTATTTTTTTTTATATTGGAAATGTTGGCCTTTTAAGGAATGTTTATAGGTAGATTGTTCATTGATTTTGGATGAATTTTTGTAATTGTAGGGAGTTGGAAAAAGAGAGAAGTAGTTTAGTAAAGAGTAAAAATCAGATGGCTCTAGATTTAGAAAGACTTCTTAATCAAAAAGAGGTAAGGAAGGTTTCAGTTTAACTCAACAAACAAAAACAAAAATCTTACAGATTTTATCAAGATATACCCATTTTGTATCTGTAGTCTATGAAATTTTTGTGTAGAACAATACAATATTAATCAATATAATCAATAATTAAAAGTTGAAAATTCACTTATTGACAAACACCGTAGATGACTGTTCAGTTCCTCATTACATTTTCAAGTAATTTGTTTCTGGTATATTCCATTTTGATATTTCTACTGTAGGAAATGGCTGTGATGAAACAAGTTGTATTAAATTTATCAACAAGACGAAATGGTGATAGAAAATCACAATCTGTAAATACACACACTAGATCTCGATCGAAATCACCAGTGTTTAGAAAGAGAGATATTGAAGGGTTTGAAGAATTGGGTATTGAAAAACCTGGTGCTATCACTATAGTAAGTATTTTAGACTGTCTCTGACACATTTTCTAGGTAAAAGTTACATTGGAAAAAGATCATCAGGTATATAGAAGTTTAAGTTTCTTCAGGCGCAAAAAATTTCTGTGAAATTGAAACTGAAGATTACTATGCTTGGGATAAAAGAACTTTTGAGAAAAAAGGTCATGAAATTAGTGCCCACATAAAAACAGTAACTGCTTACTTTTTTAATGCTCTCTCTTCTTATATCCTGAATCAAAAATGTTCATCAGGCATAAATCAATATTAACACTCAAAGCAACGTCAGTATGGATTTGAAACCAAATGAAGTGGTTGCATTAATGATCAAAGAAAGGAACATCAACTTACTTTTTATCATGCCATGTCATTCATACTTTAGTTTAATTTTATTTTCATGGCATGGAGTTATTTTCATTTTTCAGACTGGCACTAAATCAAATTGGCATCAGAAATTAAAAGAGAAAACTCAAGGAAGACAAAGTCATAAATATTCTAAAGTGTATGGTATATCTAGTACTTAGTGAAGATTATAATAAACTAATGAATATTATTGTGATATGATATTAAAAATTCAAAGATTGGTGCTTTCACTGACTCTTCATCCTGCCTACTCATTTTATTTTACTTAAATTATAATAATTATTCATTTATTATATTTATACAATGGTACAGGGGAAAAAAGATATTTCTTCGTCCACACTATTTTGCTTCAGATAAAGTCAACTGTCTGTCTTGAATCATACCTAGATTTGCACAAATATTTTTTCTCAACTATGCTGTTCACTGAACAGTTTCTTAGATAAATGTTTTAAACAAATAAATGGTTATAATTTTTAATATAGGCATGCATACTATCTTGGTATATTTTCAACATGTTTTGAAATGATCAGGTTTTTATGGTTTTAAGAAATAATGCATGATTATATGTATCAGTCTCTATATGATTATTTGTATTGTTTTGTCTTTACCTGATGTTTTATATAGGTTTATATTGTTATTGAATTTTTATATTTTAAATTATGTACATAATAATGTTAGATATTAAATATTATTATATAAAAGTACTGAAATATTATTAATATATTATTTTTATTGATATTAATTATCTTAATCAGAAGCAGAAAATTAGTTGACATTGTCTTGGCATGAATCCCATTGCACAGGATATTCTTTCATCGCATAGATGACCTTTAATTGGATTTTGCATTATCTCAGTGGCTAAGACTGTCAACAAACCAAATTTGATCCGTAGTTTCTTTTACTTATAGCTAAGTGAGGTCATTTCGTAAATAAAGGATTCCCTTTAGCCTCAATGTGATCTGAGGGATTCCCCGGTATTGATTATTTACAAAATGAAGAAGACAGTTTCTGCATTCCTTTTTCTCGTCTTTTATTTCATAAAAATGTACATGTTTGGCGTTTATGCTTTGATTAGAGAGAAAATCGAAGGTCATTATCATCCACCAGGTAAATTTTATGCGGCTTTTCTGTATTTTCTTCACGTTTTTCAACTAAACGAAACCTTTTCATTTGCAATATTTTCGATCATTGAATCAAGTCCAGAGTCCAACTGTCATACTAAATATCGTGTTATGACATTTGAAATAGTCTTATTTCATTGAAGAACCGCCTGAAGGAGAAGGATTGGTTGCTTTGGTAACTGGAGGTACAGAAGGAATAGGATTGGAGATTGTCAACACATTACTTTCTAAAAATGTTACAGTATTCATAGGTAAGTGAGATTGTCTAATAATTTAATAGAGTGATTTAATCCGAAACTTATCAGCCTCTGATATGTTTGACAGTTATTAGTTTGAACAGAATATCTTGAAAGACTTGACAGCTGGATTGTATTAAATATTTCTTTTCTTATACAGGTTCAATAATTACGAATGATTTGTGAATAACGAAGGTATAAATGTGATATTTTGCATCTATAAATCATAACCCAATTAGCTCATTTGTTTATTTCATTGTTGGGCTTTATCATTTTTATTTTAAAGCTTCACACCATAAAGAAAAGGGTGAAAGATTAGTTAAAGATATGAAGTTAAAGTATTCCAGTGCACAAGGTAGGTCAAATATATTTTATTGTAATACGTCAAGATTTGATTGTAGCGCTAGATGTTATGGGTTAAATATATATATCATTGATTCATTGATTCATTCACAAGTTTTCATATTAAAAAATTCAGTCATATTTTATTTTATAGCAGCTGACACTATAAAATTTTGATGAAGAAAATATTTTCTTTTTCAGTGTATCACCTAAGTCTAGATTTAAGAAGTTTAAAATCTGTCAAAAATTGTTTTATGCAGTTTAAAAAATATAAAACTCCTCTTCATATCCTGATTAATAATGGTAAATCACTCTAGCCTCCACCTGCTATCATTTTAGAACATCAGTAGCTGAGATAGTTAGTGTTCTATATTGTGTGTGGCATAATCTCTTTGATAGCCTGCACAGCCTGTTTATTTACATACAGCTCAGAAACAAATAGTTCAATCAAATTCAATGTTACCATATTATCTGTCAAACAAGATTGTCTTTTTCCATTATGTTTGAATTTATAACCAACAAACCAAAGGTTGTCAGATGATGTACCATAAGGCTGTTGATTTTGCTGTATGTTCAAGAATGACCGGCAGATCATGTCAAATGTCTTTTCTGGCAAGGATACATTTGACTTGAAATATAATCACTATGCTTCAAGATTACTTCAAGATTATATTAAGATAGGTTTTAACTTTCAAAATTTCATCTTACAGCTGGAGTGATGCTGACACCTTATAGAATAACAGAAGATGGTTTTGAAGAACAGTTTCAAGTGAACTACCTCAGTCATTATTATCTAACATTATTATTACTGGATAAACTCAAATTATCTGGTAGTCGAGATCATTCTAGTCGCATTATCAATGTGTCATCTGCTGTACATTTTATTGCTGGTGAAGATTTAGAGAAATTAATGTCTAGGTATAAACCTATACAGAAGTATGTTTAGAATATTTTGACAATTGGATAAGATTTTATATGAAAGGCACATGTTAATCTGCAAGGCCATAGAGTAATCAAGCTGACCATGACACAACACTGATCATGTGAATGGAATATAAAACAATTCAAGATCTCCCAACATTTTGAAATCAGAAAAGATATGGCAAGTTGGTGAGACTGTCCTGTCCAATTTTCCAAAACACAAACTCCATTTTTTTTCCATTTTGCCTAAATTAATTTCAAAAATTAAGCTTTCAATTGCCCGATAACATTCTTTGCGCACAATCAATGGCTGTATTGCCCAGCCCTTATCAATGGCCCATTACTTCATTTCAGATCCAGTTGTATGTTTGACTATTCACCTCATTATTCTTATGCTACCTCTAAATTAGCTATAGTACTGAGTTCTTATCACCTAGCTAGACATCTAAATAGCAGCAGATCTTGTGTCACTATAAATACCTTACATCCAGGAGTTGTCAATACAGGTTTATATAGACATACACATTGGAGTATTAGATGGCTTATGTTAATTATAGCTAAATTACTATTTAAGGTAGGCCCAAGTTTCCCTTCCTCTTGCAAGCTGTATAAGCTTATCCTACAGGGCCAAATGTGTATTCTTTTTGGGTGCAGTTTTTCATTATCAAAGTGATTTGAAGATTGGTTACACCTGTTATATTTTCTGTGCAGGCAGATGCAAAGAATATGTGTCAATGTAGAGCATTTTTGCTGTGAAATTGACAGAAAGTAAGACAGTAGACTCCAATATGGTGAAATTTATTTAATTAGACTAATGGCCAAAATGATATTTTCATTCTGCATGGCAACATGAACAGTTTATTCCTGCATTTATTTATTACATTTATAATATGTTTAGTCTTTATGGTGAAATGTATTTTTATTATCTGTTACAGACTCCTAAACAGGCAGCACAATCAGCTATTTATGTCGCCATGGCAGCAGAATTAGAAGGGGTCTCAGGATGTTACTATGACAACTGTAAAGCAGTAAATTCCAGTGATTTATCATATGATCAAGATCTACAAGATGAATTATTAAGCAGAACTGTTCAGAACTGTTTCCAAGATATTAAAACCTGAAGGGGACTGTATTCAGTGTGTCTTATTGGCGATGACAATATATAGGCTCATGATATCTTGCAAGTCTTATAGACATGATTAGATTGTTGTCTTTGACTTGTAAGAACACATAGATGAAGTGCTTGAAGTTCAAATTCAAAATTGGAATCTAAAAATAGTGTTTGAACAGTAAGCAATGCTACAGATAAGGTCAACCAGAGGTTTATAGGCAGTCTTGTTACATTTGTGTGCACAGGGTATTGATTTCAAACTAAATTTTCTTAGTGGTTTATTTATCAACAATATCAAACAAGGACCAATGTGTCCAATTTAATACATTATATACTTAAAATGATTTATTACATAGATGAAATAAATATGAATAAAATATTTGGTATATAGTTTTATTTTAGTTAAACTAACAGTTTTTTTTATCTACTTGCTATTGACTGGGGAGAAACTGGAGAAATTATGTCTTCTATACTGGATCTGAATATCCATGCAGACCTTGACAAATAAAACTCTTTTGAAGCATGCTTTATCAAGGTTATGTATCAAAACAACTTCTACACCTTTGTGATATCAAGCTGATAACAGTTAAAATACAATAATATTTGAATATTATAAATATATCACAGACAAAAAAAATACAATCTAAAACACTTCTTTCTTATTTCACATTTCAAATATCTTATTAATTATTAACATACAAATAGTTTAAACATGAAAATGGTTATAAATTATATAGATATAAAACTTACTTCAAAGCATACCATCTCTGAAAATGGTCATTTAAAGTCTCAATGGTCAACAAGTGTATATATGCATCAGTTGAACTTACCAGATACCATGACTTAAGAATAGAATTCCCATAAAAGATGATATATTCATGGAATAATTATGCTTCTAAGCATGTTTCAAAGTTACTTAGTTTAATGAATTATTACTTAGTTTTATGGATTTATTGGATTATAGAGAGATTCTGTTGTATAGTTATGACACCACGTAAGTCCACTGATGAATAAAGACTCATTTTTGAAATTTAGATATGTTGGTCATCCTAAGAGGTAGTATACCATTAAGATATAAAAATATTTTTAACATGAAAAGAATAAAAATGATAAATATGTCTTCAATACAAATATTATAACATTTATATAAGATATAAATATTTCTAATACAACCATTTCCATCACTTAAATAGACTATTCCTATATCATTATAATATATTATTTATAAAAATATATAAAAAAATATTCATACAATCTAAAACATAATTAAGCTTTGTTTATTAAAAGAAATCCTTAAAATCTGTGTCTACTTGAAGCAAAAAAAACAAAATGAAAATGGTTTTGTGATCATATAGAAAATGATGATATATTAATGAAAAAAAAACCTTAATGATTAAATGTGACTGTGATAATTCATATTTTTGATTATAACAACAGCAATGAAAGGTTGCTTGCTGTGCGATCCCTATTATAAGTTAGATATAGCACACATCATATCTTAAACTGACAGTAGTCTATTAACTACTTACATGTACTTAAGTGACTCATACAAATATAGCACTCAACTTGCATTGCACTCTAATATGAAAAGTTCAGTAAGTGTTGTAATCATCACGGTGCCCATCTCTGTGGTGTGATTTCAGGAAATACATTTAGCTTCTGGCGGTGTTATGGTGAAGAAATACATGAACATCAAGACTAAATATATACATAATACAATAGAACCTGTAATAAAAAGAGACAAAATTCAATTCACTATCTACTTTTATACATATAAAAATACCTCAAACTAGTAATTTCACTTTCTATTTCTATTTATGTCTTTTATATATAAGGTAGAGTCTCAAGAAAAGACCAGTCTTCTTTTAAAATTTCAATCATAGATAATTCTGGAGCCACATTGCCTTGATGGCTCAAAATTCAATAGTGAGCTGTGAACACTATTACTGATTTGTTTAAAGGGGCAGATGCGCCATTTTGGGGGGATTATTTTGATCTTGAATATATGTAAATAGTCTTCAGAAGTACTAGAAATATCAAAAATTAAAAATACTTCAAACTATGAATTTTACTCGCTATTTCTATATATGTCTTTTCAATAGAGTATCTTAAAGTGACGAGTCATCATTTTAACATTCAACGCAAATAATTCTGGACACAGAGATTCTAAGGCTCAAATTTCGATGGTGATTGGTTTAGCTAAAAAATTCCTGTTTCTAAGACTATAGTAAGATTGGTCAAAAAAATGGTGCATCTGTCCCTTTAACTAAAGCATTCCAGTTTCTGAGACTAAGGTTTAATTGGTGTAACGAATGGCAAACCTGTCCCTTTACTACAAAACTGAACATAAGGAGATCCAAAAGTGCAAATTTTGTTAAATTAGACTTTACCTTGGAAATAGTCACTTTTACCATCTTGAAATATATAATTAATTATAACCACAGAAAATATGACTGAATACATGTGGACATCACTGAATACAAGGATAAAATTCATAGGCTGAAATACAATCATATATTCTGTGTTAAAGAAACACATTAACCATGCAGTAAAGCTTGGAATTTATAAAGTGGTATTGCAATACAGCTTCCTTACTAACACATTATAATTTTCTTGAGAAACCTGTCTATAATCCTAAGTCAATCCGTAATATTTATCACTTCCTGGTTGATCAAAAGTAAACAATATAGTCAGTATAGACTACAGTTCTATGATGAGACAAACAAAAAAACAGCAGAAACTAATAGTCCAAATTGGATAATAGCTTCACAATGGCAGAATACAGAGGAATTCAACAACAACAACCACATCATTCATCTGAATTTGTGTTGTATGCTTGTGATACAGGCCAAGCATTAACATTGAGGTTGAATCATAATATTCACAAGAAACAACACAGGCCTAGGCCTACTGGAAAGAAACCTTTTCATTGTGGTATTTGTGGACTAGGTTTTGATATGACAAGAAAACTAAGTAATCACATCAAAATACATAAGGCTGAGAAACCATACGAATGTAATGTTTGTGGAAAGTGTTTTCCCAAATTGTTCAATCATACTGAGCACATGAGAAGAAAACATACTGGAGAAAAACCATACAAATGTGAGGTTTGTAAAAAGAGTTTTGCTATAGCAAGTGATCTTAAAGTTCATAGGAGACGACATACCGGAGAAAAACCATACAAATGTAAAGTTTGTGAAAAGAGTTATATTACAGCTGGTCAATTTAAAGTTCATATGAGAAGACATACTGGAGAAAAACCACACAAATGCGATGTTTGTGAAAAGAGTTTTATTACAGCAAGTGAAATTAAAGTTCATGTGAGAAGAGCCCATACTGGAGAAAAGCCGTATAAATGTGATATTTGTGAAAAAAAATTTAATACTGCAAGTGATCTTAAAGTTCACAAAAGAACACATACTGAAGATAAACCATACAAATGTGAAGTATGTGAAAAGAGTTTTAGTGAGTTAAGCTATCTTAAGGTTCACATGAAAACACATACTGGAGATAAACCACACAAATGTGATCTTTGTGAAAAGAGTTCTGTTACAGCAAGTGATCTTAAAGTTCATATAAGAAGAGCCCATACTGGAGAAAAACCATATAAATGTGATGTTTGTGAAAAGAGGTTTGTTACAGCAAGTGAATTTAATGTTCACATGAAGAGACATAGTGGAGAAAAACCATACAAATGTGATGTTTGTGAAAAGAGGTTTGCTATAGCAAGTGAATTTAAAGTACACATGAGAATGCATAGTGGAGAAAAACCATACAAATGTGATTTTTGTGAATGGTGTTCTTTTCAGCCAAATTCCCTTAATTTGCACATGAGAACCCATACTGGAGAGAAACCATATCAATGTGATGTTTGTGGGAAATGCTTTATAACTTCATGCAGTCATAAAGTTCATATGAGAATACATACTGGAGAGAAACCATACAAATGTGATGTTTGCAAAAAGAGTTTCTCAGTCTCAAATAAACTAAAAGTACACACCAAAATACATATGAAAGAACTTTAAAAGTATCTTAGTTCATGAAAAGTTTATTACTAAAGACATAAAGAGGGGGGGGGGGGGGGGACTTCTAATGAACTGTTGGTCCTTTGAGAGCTGAAAGTGGCATTACCTTCATCTCATACCCTCATCCTTTGGTAAATAAAATGATTTTATGCAGAAACAATAGAGGAGAACCTATACAACTCTTGTACTTTGCACCGACTCTTCTATATCGCGATATTTGAATCTATGGTGATAAAAATTGGCCTATATCGCCATACACAAAATATCTCATATCACCCAACTAGGGTCTCCAAACTTATTCCTTGCTAACCCTACCTATACACAATTTTGTAATCAGATTCAGACTATTTTTCAATGAACTCGAATACACAAGAAAAACATTTTCATAATCTCATGTTATTGGAGTTGTAAAGCCCCAGAGGTTTGCCCCTGATCACAGAGTGTAGACAAACAGTTGGCAGGAAAATACATTACATTCATAAAAATACATAGTAAATATGTTATATTGGTTATATTGTCATTATTTAAGTAAAGTTTATTATTATCACATGTTGACAGAGATTAGGGTGATTGAAAGTAATAAGTAACTATTCAATAAAAGACACAGGACGAGAGTTATCTTTCCAATAAATTAGTATAAGTTTACTTACATAAATGAGATTTATTAAAACTAGAATTGGAACTTGAACTAAACAAACTTGTATTGCTGTAGAACCACCAATCTCTATACTGTTAAAAAAAAATCATATTTTCAAATTAATCTCAATATAAGGAGATTTCTTGGCTAGTAACAGAATACGAACCAAGTTCCATAGAAAAGGGGCGTTTACAATAGATATACCAATATTTAATTTAGGAAACAACACTGATACAACCAAAAATCAATATTAAGCAGACTCACCCAAGATTGACATTATTTTGTAAAGAAAACTGAACACCATTGACTACCTCTGGTAATTCAGGTACTAAAGCTAACATTGTTACACCAACAAAATACTGTAAATATCAAAAAATATATAAATTTATTAATTATCTAGCTGGATTCTTTAAAAGTTACAATTTCATCCAGTGAGAGGTCTTCTTATCATTCTAACGCATTCATTGTCTCTGTTTGTGACCTTGGCCAGTGCTTCTACAAGAGGGTATCTTCTAATACTAACTTGGGAATATTGCACCTTTGAAGGAATATGCAGTTATGCTGAAACATTTGGGTCTAAAATATCCCTTTATCAAAGGTATACAAGTATTTTCCACACACATCCCTTGATTTAAGCAGGCTTGTATCATATAGTGCTGGAATTTCAAAAGGACTAGATTCATTGAAACAAATACTGTACCAAAGTGCTTCTACAATTGCTATGTTATACTCTACTTAGATCATCAGTACTATACAGGGTCGTAAGTTTTAAGTGACTAGAATATCAGCCAGCTGTATCAATAGATAGTTATCAGTATGGTGATGGCTGGGAGATCAAGCTGAGTGTCAGACAATAAAATAGTAACACCATACCTCGGATACACCTGTACTCTCTAACAATGGTTGTAGATTATTAGTTACTAAATCAGCACACAATGCTATTAATACTGCACAGAATAATAATATAATAGTACTCTTTAATCTCGACCATTGAGCTGATTCTACAATAATAATTTAATTAAAAAATCGATAAAAAAAATCATTTTTTTCAGGATCATATTACTATTTACATTAGGTGGCGCTTAGTTGGTCAGTTCTTACAGGTTTGGCCTGTACGCAACCTGATATGTCACATTCAAAGTTTGAAACATATTATTCCTTTCTCTGCCATTTTCAATTCTTTCTCGATGCACCTTTTGTACTCTGTTCCAACTTGTTTCCTTTAAAGTCTTGTTGATACCATGAATCCAAAACATCAAGAACTTTCCAATAGAGAGCCCAAAAATACTTTCAATAAGGAAGATTAGTTACTATTGTTCATATCAAAATATTATTTTTCCAAGGTCAAGACTATAATTTTCTCTACTGACAAACCTTCAAGTGCTGTGGACGTGGCTTTAAGTTGTTCATTAAAGGCATCATAGATATGTGAGGAATGTGTTTTCAGGGTGAATATTAAACCCACTATATATGATATTGGTAAAACTATAGCACAAGCATAGATCAATGGTTCTATATGTTTCTCATATAATGATTTATCTCCATCTAAACCAAACTGAAAAATAACAAAGAAAATTGAAAATCATATGGAAATTTACATCCTACTTTTCCATCTTGGGCTAATGAAGACCGGATTCAAATTTTTAAGGTACATATCCAGCCAAAAACAATAGTGCTGTTTTGTATTTTAATTTTTAACTATAAAGTTGCATACCAGCCCTAAACTTGCAATTGATGCTGCATGCATATGTATAGTATATTTCAATAGATAATTTCTTAATCAAAATCATACGCTACCAAGTTATTTTGTCATTAAAAGCACAGTATTAAGAATTCTTGTCTAAAACCTACCAAAGATTGTTTACAATCATCGCATTTAAAACCAACAGTAGCGTTAGAAGTACCATTAATATCTGTTTGATTCACATACTCACAACGATTACACGTTAAATCACCATAAATCTTAGAAAATATAGTCGGAGCAAATATACCTAAAAAATAACAATTGTTTATTCCTTAACATTAATAATCGCTCTAAACCACATTCTCTTTAAAACCAGCATCCCTTCATAACTGGTATTTTCTGGTTGGCTGACAGTTTAGGGGTTTCACTACAGTTTGTTCAGTTTATCATGTACTTTATTGAGTCATCTGCCATGTCCAGTGGCTGATTTAGCACAAATAAGTTAACACTGTTAAGATCAGTTGCCATATAAATTCAAAAACTTAAAGGAATCATCATAATTAGTCTGCATGATTTTATATATCATAGATATGACAATGAGTTAATCAATAGTTGTACTAACCTACTATAGAAACAAACAACAAGGCAGCACTAACTGAAGCTGATCTTGGGTTAAAATTCTGAGTACGAAATTTAATACCACCCACTATCATACATACTCCCTAGAAAATAAATAAATATATTTATATTCTAACACAGTTATCTTATGCATCAAATACAATTTAACAAGGAAGATATGGCATGCATTTGATGAGAAAAATAAGGCATACTTCAGCAGCTTGAACTTAACTCAAGTAAATGAATCCTATAAAGAAACTCGGAAGAAATAGCAGATACATGTAATGACATAAAAATTTCTCCTTATACTTACAGGAATGAATAAAATACTGGCTAAAATAGTTCCTGAAAAATAGAGATAAAAAATTTATAACAAAATCTGAATACACTTATAACAGTTGATGTCGACATAGATTAGGGCTAATAGTAATGCTATTTGTTTCAAATAAAAAATTGAGCATTGGCTCAATCACAGTAAACTAGAAATCAAAATCCTACTTTTCTGCTCCAGCTTGGGCCTATGATGACATAGCAAATGAATAAAAACATTTCTTGAAAGCCAAGTTCACTGACCTGCTAAGGAAGATTTGACTAGTTCTTGATAACAACCTTTATCTGTATCAACACCTTTCTTTAATACAATCACAAACAATATTATCTCTACTATAGATCCAAACGTAGCATTCAATATAGCACCTACAGCAAAACTACTTTGAGCTGATATACTGAAATAGAAAATATGGAAGTTGATTTTGAGGTAAGTCAGACACAAATCTCTCAGTTACTTTGAGCTCCACTAAATTATTGTGCCAGTTTTACCAACAAATAAGGGAATGCTCACCACCTGTTTCCATTATGTCATTCAGTCTGTCTACTTAGCATCACTCTCTTAAAGTTCAAATAGCTAGCAGAAACAATATAATATTGTATTGTATCTAATAGTTGTATTGAATATGTGAAAACTTTACAAAACATGACTTTGATTGATTAAATCCCAGCATAAAAGTGACGAATTACTGAAATTTGAAATATTGAAGCTGACTGACCTAGTAATGGAGAGGCCAATATAATAAGTTAATGGTATAATGGCAAGAATAGCTAATATACATTTCTGAAAATAGATTAATAATCACATAACTGGTTTAAGAAAAATTCCAGTATAGGGAATAATGAATGGTTATGTGTCTATTCTATAGGCAAAGCATCCAATTTGTGCTATTAATGAAATTCACAAATTGTCATATGCATACAATCTTTACTGGACTTCATGTTTATTGTTATGTAGTTCATTCACTTTAGTACATCAATATTCTAGTACCAGTAACTAAAATGACTTAAAGAAGTAATAAAACACTATCTTACCGTTACACCATTTGTTATTTGATTCTCTTCATCAGAATATCCCAAAACAATAGATAAAAACACAAACACTAACAAATCTAATTATAAGTTTAAGGTATAAACATAACATTATTTATTATCTTCGGTTTCAACCATATATCAAACCAAACATAAGACTGATTTGAAAATTGTTCAATAAAATTTTTAAAAATTAAATCAAGGTTTTAGCTTTCTCTTTTTCCAAATAAAATGAACACAAGCTACTTTCACATTAACCTTGTGACAGTCCTCAAGTCTTTCCCTTTCCCTCATCTGATCGAACTTATTTTCAGCTACATGTACCACTTTTCATAATGAAAATTGTAAAGGATACTGACTAATATAACATTAACACCATCAATAGTAAATTTATAATAATATATATTCATAGATTGGTGGGTGTATAATAATATTTCACTGTGTAATCTTTCTGAATCCTACAATATACAAACATAATGCATTATTACAATACACAACCACAATGCTTATTACAAATCACAAACAATGCATTATTACAATACATAAACATAATGCATTATTATACAAACATAATGCAGTAATATTGTAAATAATAATGCAGAACGACTACATGATTCTCGCTGTACTTACCAAATCTACAATGGCTTCTGTATGAACCGTGACTTGTTCTGGTGGTAGAAATAATATTATTCTCATTGCTTTTAAATTGACCTAGAACAAGATAAAGATATATATCAATGACCTTTTTCTCAAAAAGCTCAACTTGATGACATTATTATTCTAGGCCTCACTAAAAATTATTTTAAATTCAGTTTTATTAACAAATTAGATTACTGTATTTGATAAAATCAGGTTTTATCATCGTTAAGTTTTGAAAATAAAGACTTAGATCTAGAAATATTACAAGGAATAAAAGTATTTTCACAATCACTATAGTGAGTGTGAGGCAAACTTCAAGAAGTTCAAAAGTATTCTTAGTGATCAAAACTAACTGCTGCATTAATCCTAGAAACAACTGGATATGACACATACTAAGGCAACTATTTAAAGAAATAAAGTACTCCAATACTAATATGAGTTACTTACCTTGGCCATGGGAATAGAAACAACAAACATCCATGTTAAAAAACATGCTATTGAATGTCCAATAACTAAAAAAGGAATACCCAATAAGAACCATAAATATGTAAGTGGTCTTCGCTGTAAAAAAAAAAAAGAAAAGTAAAATTAAATTTTCATATTCCCATGCTCGTATCAATTTGATGTCATTTAAGTACATCTTAACTATGAACTACATGGAAATAACAGACACGAACAGAGTTCACATTTAGAATCTCTTCCTCAAATCGATTACGTTCGTGTGTTATTTCCATGTAAGAACCATACATAGAACAAAGACATAGATACAAAAACTCTCCTCTCAAACACACAGAGAGGTTCATGGTGGTCTACATCATAGTTCATTCTATGAATGAAATTCTATCATTTTAAGAAAACAAATGAAATGAAGATGGGTAAAAATTCTGCAAGGTGCAATGAGGACAATTTGCTAAGAAGGATTTACAAACTATTTGCAATTTAAAACTATCAAGGATCTATGTACAAGGCCTGTTGCTGAGCTGAAAGTTTTCATAAATAAAAATAAGCCCTCACCCAATATTGAGACTGCTCTATATTGTGAGGTTTTTCAGATGTTTTAATATCATTGACACCAAGTAATGTGGATCTTTCATTCAAGTCTTTATTATCGTTCTCCTGAAAGCTGACCTGGGCGACAATATGTAGTGGTATTGGATGAATCTGGAAGAAAGATTTGATACAGTTGGGGCTCAGGATTTCATTACAATCCTTTATTTAGAAGTCTGTAGGTCTGTTAGGCAAGTTAGAGAATTTATCACATATTCACTACAAAAATTGTTGTGTATTCTTTATTCACAGCTTCACATATTATAAGATGTAACAAATATAACTATCATCATAACAGACATGCATAGTATTTACCATAATTTGCATATCATTATACATGTATTAGGGATGTTCTTGCAGTTTATTTCATAACAATAATGACAGAATAGGAAAGACCAATTGTATCAATCCATTCATTGTTTACTTAATGGAAACTTATGATAGTATAAAATGAAGTTAATATATGTTCTCACCTGGTGAAGAAATTTGCCAAACGGCCAGAGGAAGTACTTTGACAGATTCCAACATAAATAGGCATAAGGTCGTCCAACTATAGTAATCAACATTAACCCAGCTACTAATAAATATAACAAAGCTAGCCACCAACCAATAAATACAGTGTATAATATATTAGATATTCTTATAGTTGACACTGTAATTAGAAATAAGTTTGGAATTACTGGCCACCTTAACAGATAATCAGTAAAAACAGTAGTGATGTAAAATTGGCACTGACAGTTGCACACATCAATAAAATATCATGTATAGAAGCCATTTACAAAATAAATCAATAATTCCTAAATTATACTCTCAAGTCAATTAGAAGAGTTTAAAAAAATCAAAGAGAAATAACAAAAAAATATCAAAATATTGTTAAATGAAACTTTTAATACCAAGATCTTGCCAATTTAAAATATATCAGTTCATTATATTTCTATAGAAAATTGAGAGAAAAATATTCATTTCAGTGCATAAAATTAATTAATAATAAAACATAAGTTTCTAAATGCAGTACATTCATCATTAATTAGTGTATTGTTGTTTGTACTTCATGAGGACAAGTTATGATGAGTACCATTGTGCAGGCAATAACCAGGAGAGTTTGATGCCTACATCATGACATGAAAACTACAAAATGTACAAAATATTTGGTCAAGGTATAAAAAAAATGTTGGAAAATTTCTCAATTTCATACTGTAAATGTCCAATCTCATTATCTTTAACATTATTAACAGTATGAGATAAGATGTTATCTTACTGAAAAATTACTGAAATGAATTAGAGCATGATATTTTGCATCTTATCATACTAATGAATACTTGTAAGGTCATGCTCTGTGCAATGAGGGACATATTTCCATCAGTATAATGAGACATAATGATGAAAGTCTATAATTTCTCACAATTTAAATCATTATTATTATTGAGTAGACAACCAAGAAATTTTAATAAGGATTACTGTCAATGAAGGGTAAAAGTTTCGGCAACATGAATTTGAACTGTTCATTATATTAGTCAGGGATATTCATTGTCATGATTTTATCTTATCAAACAATATACTATGTACAATAACAAGAATCTCTACCCAATATTATTAAATGTTGACCATGGAAGTCATATGTTACATAGGATACAAATCCCTATATATTTACACATACCAGTGTACAAAATATGTATATATCAGAAATGTGATATCAAAAGCTTTTTCAATGTTTTCTGTAATTAATCCACTGATACATACGTACATTGACTTCTTACAATTATTTTTTGAAATATCATAGTGTAAATACCAGTATTAGGTGGTGATGAGAACACAGTCAACAGTATAAGCATGAACATTTCAATTACCTAAGAGCTAATTTTACAGGAAAGAATTAGATGATGATAAACTAACATGTAGGCCTACTGTAATTCTATCCAGTTTGAAAAGATGAGTACAGGTGAAATGATGATCTGACACCAGGGTTGTCTATAGTTAATAAAAATTATGTATAACTTACCATTTTTGATTTTATAATCATCTGAGTACAAATCTTGAACAATTTCTGATCTAGAGGATAGAGGTCGAGCCGTCACATGACTCTTCCATTTTTTAAAACCAAACTGTTTGAAAAAAAGAACCAAACAATAATTATAAATATTGCAGTGAATAAATCCAGAATCTTTATTTCTATAGCAACTGCTAGTGTTTATAAAGGGACAGTTGCACTATTTTGGGGGGTTGATTTTAGTCTTCAATCTATGTAAATAGTCTTTAGTTAGAGGTACTAGAAATGTATGAAAATCACTTTAAAAATTCTTCAAACTAGGAATTTTACTCACTATTTCTTAATATGTCTTTTCTATATATCACAGAGTTTCTTAACATGACGAGTCGTCATTTCAACATTCAAACACAGATAATTCTAGACACATAAGAATTTAAAGGCTCGAATTTCAACAGTGACCTGTGAACACTATTATTGCTTAGCTAAAACCTGTTTCTGAGACTAAAGTATGATTGGTCAAAAAAATGGAGCAGCTGACCCTTTAAAATCTGTATTATCTTTCGAGAATGAAATTTAGATTGAGAAATCAATATTCGATTAGAACACACTGATTGGAGGTTTGTTTGCAAGCTTATAATGTTTGGTTCAATATGATTAAATACAAGTAAAACAGGATTTTTGTCTGGGAAAAAAAATTTGAATCATGAATGAGTAGAACACCTAAACAGTCATACATTGTAATAGATAACTTTTTACACCTGACTAGTACACCTGACTTGATACATTACAATAGATAACTCTTGATAGATAATAGATAATGATCATATACATCATCACCTCTCACCTCCTAAACTTAACAGTACATTGACTTTTCAATGAATGAAAAATTCAAATTCCATTAAAAGGGATGTTGCATTATACAGATCAAATTTAAGCACAAGAAGCTTTTTTAAGGGTTTCTGACCTGTTGCTTTTGATCCCCTGTCTAGGCTATTACTCCTATTGTCTACTATAAGCCAAATACAAATATACTAGAAATAGGACAACAAGGATATTAGTGAAACCATCAATCTCAGTATTTTAAACGACTCCATAGTAGAGTAACCCATGTATTCCCATTACAAAAACTTACCAAATAATTATTAGAGATTCTATGAGCTTCTATGACATTTTCTGGTTTTGCAATAAACTGAGCTGACCTTTCAAATGGTCCTATACTGGAGGTAATATCTAGAGTGATATCATTACTTTCTGTGTTACTGGTTCTTAATCTAACTTTAGGTAAATCACAGACATCAGGAGTTCTGACTTGTCCATTTTCAACCGTAATACTGGTTTCATCTTTAGAACTACTCCATGATTCTTTATCAATGTCGGCCATTTTGACAGTGTCTTATAAATTTACAGTATGTCTTATTTTGGTTACTTTTAGTCAATTTATCATGTCAAACCATGTTCTAAAACGAAACAATTAATTTTCAATATTAATATCTGAAATATGGATAAATTCTACACATAAACAACAGCTGCAAGATATACTACAAAGACTATACACAGGATGTATCTCATGATATATAATCATATTATATCATAATATGTAGCTTAATTAGCTGATTAAGAGTTCAATTTTTAGCTATCAATATTACTTTGAGGACAGGCTGTAGCAGAGTTGATAAGAGCATTAGAATAGTTGACATCATTAGTCGTTCAAACAAATTCTGGTGGCCTTGAATAAGTTACTCATTAATTCAGTCGACCAAGTTGTAATATAAAAACTGGATTTTATAATATGGGAAAGATCAATGCAAAGATGTCTGGTTAAGATTCAGACGGAAACTTGGTTGCTATTCTTGTAAAATATGATTTCTTTATAACTGCCTTATATCTAACGACAGTCTTAATATGAGTCAGGGCTACCTCATACGTCTGTACGTCGCTTAATATGGTACATGTTTGTGGAATCCTGTAGGCCTTTGCATCTGGGAGAGGCAGACATCAGATTTAAATTCTGAAAATAGTTACAGTTGTTGAAATCAAGTTATCAGCTAGTAAATATTTAGACTAATATATTGTTTTTATGATTATTGATTAGGGTGCTGACTGTGAATGATGCTAATATCAATTCATAGCATACAAAACATCACACACAAATTGATCAAGATAAATCTTTTTTATTACCTCCACTAAGTAGACAAATGAGTTTAACAAAATGTGTTATATATTGTAATGTCATCGCCTTTTCCATTTAAGTGCAAAAAGGTTAGCAAAAATAAAAACATGAATAAAAACATATTTTTTAAATTTAATGAATTACAACTAACTAGTTATGAACTTTCTGATAAAAACAGTACTTTATAGAAGGTCCTTTTGGCTTAGGCTCACTCTCATGGGCCTATATTTTTCCTCTCAGATCACCTGAGTAGCCTACACAGTGCGAGCACGGTAGTCGGTAATCTAGACGGAAAAACTTCAAAAGAACTCAATTTTCTGACTGAGTTCAATGAATATCACGAAATGCAATATTGGCAATTGATAATAATACTGCATTTTAGACAAAAAAAACTGTAAGGAGTCAAAATACTACCTTGCGTTCAGTAGATTGTAGGCTATGATACCGATCTAAGCCGTTTCTTTAAAAGCTACAGTCAAAACAAATCTCTGCCATGATTCTATCATGTGATAAACGATGATCACGTGACTTTAAGTTTCTTGATTACGGTAGGTACGTTTCACAAACTACAAATCATTACAAATAACTAAATTCATTATATTTTTTTTAAACATTTCCTACCCGATTGAAGCAAGCCCCTTTACATTTGGGTAGTCACTGTATAAAACCACATCTTGGTGACAGATAATGTCAATAAGAAATGAAATAGACTACCGTTTTAACCGTTTGTTTTTTTACACACAACGATAGGCCGAAACATCTGCCTCTATTCCAGTCTCTAATGGATATTTCTCTAACATAATATACCCGTCTTCATTAGCCCACAAGGTGCAGAAGAGTAGGACATAAAACTCCATTCATTTCATTTCATTTTCTAACATAATATTGAATTACCTTTAAAATTATTGTAAATAAGTGCTTGGCATCACCTTAACTTTAGTTTTGTTAGTATCACGTGATACTGTGACCTTTGGACTTTTGGCTGTGCAAGCAGTTTTAAATGACCGATGCTAGATCAATTTCGCCAAAAAAAAAACTTTGATGGAACCGGAGACATGACATAGATGGTGTAGGGAGAAAAATATGGTATGACTGAACTACGAAAATATTCATCTTTCCATATATAACTGGGTTATACAGATCCGAGGTATCTAATTAGGTTTAAAAAACCCACACCTGCGAAGATTAAGTCGAACTTTATAATGAAAAAGCATAATATAATGAAAAAGCAAAAGGGGTTTTATCGGGCTCTTGCTTCAATATAATTCATAGCCGAGACACGCCTATTTCTTCTCATTTTGATGTATACAGTTCTTTTACTTGACTCAAAGAAGACTTAGCTTCTAATAAGGCATATCTGCAACTCTAGTCAAACAGTTTTACAGTGACTTTTTTTCTTATGTACATACCAAAGGCGCATTAAAAACCTCAGTAACTTCCTGGTTAAGTATAGCCCAGATCGAATTCTAGTCCAGTGGGTTCGTTTTGCCGCATTACCCAACTTGCCGCATCGTGCCCAACTGCACAAAAACGACATGTAAAACAAAACTAGAAGTTTCTGATAAAATTCGGAATGGCCGTTTTTCACATGAAACGAAATATTTTAATCTGTTGTCCCGCATCTTTATTTTTTATTATGTATAATTTGGACCTGTTAGGGAAATTGAAACTATAGTTTTATGGTAAAATCTGAAATAAAATAAATACCAAGTACAAACGATCAGAACCGTAACATAAAATACATAAATCCACCACGGCATGCGGATGGTAAATATTCAAGATTTTGGGGCAAGGGCAATAACTCTGCTTCTAACGGTCGAAAAAAGCTCAAATTCGAACTTGATCTTCGTTTTATGAATATGTATACTATACACATACCGAATTTCATTTGATTCGATCCAAAAATCTAGTTTTTAGAGCGCTTACAAGCAAATGTTGACGGACGGACCTACGGACGGATTTTATCAGAAACCTTTAATTTTGTTTTACAAGTCGTTTTTGTGCAGTTAGGCACGATGCGGCAAGTTGGGCAATGCGGCAAAACGAACCCATCGATTCTAGTCCACTATTAACATTCTCGCATTCCGATATTCAGACGGCGACATAATATCGTATCCAGTGGAATTGATTTTGATAAATGTCTGATGAACTGGTCGTTGGAGTTTATCCTAATAAAAATGGTAGACCCTATGAATAACTGAAATTGAGCTCAATAGATTTAGAACTTTTAAGACGATATTACTTCAATTATATTTGGGAACTACTGATGAAAACCTGAGTTAGTTGAAAAATTGTTGTAAAAAGAACTTTCAGTTTAATAAGTAGGGAAATTTAATTATCTCTTTCTCTTGTTCTTTTATTTGAGTTTTGAACGATTGTATTTAAACTGATACAATACCACTTAGAGTGAAAAATAAATTTATTCAATGTATTTTTTGACGACTTTGTTGATATACGTCTCTATGGCAGCCATTTTTTGTTACATTTTCTTTTAAAAAAAATCATCCAATTCAAGTGTTCAGTTTGTAAATCATAATGTAACTATTTGCTTTGATAGCGATGTTTATTCCTAGTTATTCCGTTTTGAAAACAATGTCTTAGCATTTTCGTCGATATTTCACATAGAAATAATCTGTAAATTCTGATATATTCATCATAGTGCATGCATTGCTGGTCACTATGATCAAAAATGGCTGTCATCTTCTCAATATCATAGAGGTTAACAAGGCGTTTACAGCATCTTGCATTCTTATCCACTTGATCTTAAAAGGATTGTAAAGAGTTTTTCGAAACTTTTTATGTGTATCGGGGACACTGATAGCATCTTTTTGCACATTTCACTCTCGATCAGACGTCTGCGATATCTGATATGCCCCGTCCCCCTTGATTTCTGACTGGGGGGACATCATATATATTGTCCCCCCCCCCCCCCCCACTTTATTCATTCAACTGACCACTATAGTTCGTAAATACATGTATATAAATAAATATATAGAATAAGAATAAAATAAAGAATAAAAAGAATTGTCAGTTGTTATATATACATTAATTAATTTTACTGAATCAAATTCGCTGGGAAATCTCGTTTCTGGGCGACCAATTCGCCATGAAATGTCAGGAAATAGTGTTTCAGGGAGTCAAATTATCTAGAAAAAACAATTCTGGAGGGGGTCCCCAGCTTCATAAAATCGAGTTTCCAGGCTTTTAATGGGTGTCCTCGGCAGCAATAAAGATATCAATAACTACAGAAAGCACCAATGAAAAGCGTCACAATTCATGAAGTTTTACACCCCCCCCCCCCCCCCCCACCTTGATTGGACGTTTGACCCTCGAGAAGTACTAACTTGGCTACAGACCTGCCCCTTTGACCAGTACCCCAACCCCCCCCCCCCCCCCACCCCTTTTAGCAACGGATGGTCGGCCCTGCCTACGGGCTACATTGCATCAAAATAGGTCAAAGATTTTAGATTCTTCAGAGGGAATGTGAGTGAACGGACAAACAGGTCGATCGTGGGACATACACATCATGGCGTATAACATTAACAACTGAAGGTTGTCAAAAAAACCGCCATTTATTCTGACAATTTTGAAAATGATTTTTTGCAACAAAAATCAATAGCCTTTGTACAAACCATCTTATATAAAATAATAAAAAGACGAGTAGAAAATCATTGCATTCGTGGCATCAGGGAGCGAAGTTACATCGGATAAAAGAATGGTTTATTGGTATATCTTGATTCTCTTGGTTTTTATCAACTTTGGGACAGAAAAAGTAAATTGTGGTAAGAATATGATAGATAATTTTGTTAGGGGCACAAAATCCCCGTAATGAGGAGTGGTAGTGGTGTTGCGAGAAAATATCTTGCTGGCTGGGGGCATTTTTAAACGTTTTTACGGGATCAGTTCTATAAGCTTTGTATTCTGTTCTTTTTTAGCGTGTCTCACTGAAAACCTTCCAAGTAATAATTATACAAAACACAATGCAAGTGATGAAGAATATGAGAATGGTACTTTGATATCTTTTAAATGTATAGAGGGTTATTATGATCAACAAGCAAGTTCAGCGATTTATCAATGCTTGGGAATAAATCTTTCACGAGAAAGGAAGAGATTCGTGTGGAAAAAGCCAATAAAAGTTATAAACTGTACAAGTAAGTTTAACGTTGATAACTCTATAACATATGTTTAACGTCCTGTGTCACTTTAAATATTGAAAAAAGGTTCGCAAGCAATCATCAAATAATTTTTCTAAAATAAAGATAACAATGGCATGGACACCATCTTCACACAGTCAGGCTATACGAACTGCGTTTGACTGCAATAGCCACCATTCTTGTTTTACGAAGCGATTTGATTGCATTGTACTTGTGAATACAGACAGTCAGAGCCTTCGACAGAAAGACTGTGAACAATATGCTATCGGTTTAACCGTAGGCAATGATTGGCTGTATCCGCTAACGACAATCCAATCAAATCACTGCATCAAAAACTTGCGTAATGGCTATTGCAGTAATATACTCAGTTCGTAATAGCTTGACATTGTGAAGATGCCTGGATATTTATTCATTAAAGCTCAATTTTTTTAAATTAACCACAGGTGATGCCGTTTCCGGAGACTTAAAATCTTCAGATGGATCAACAAGAGCTCTGGAGACGACTCTGTCTACATCTATTCTTCAAGTTATTCCCAGCTTGTCTATTATTTACGCTGAAATAACATCAATAAAGGCATCTATACATGAAAAAAGTCCTTCCTATCTGAAATCAACTAATCATCTGGAAGGACAACTGCAATGGTCTTCAACAGTGATCACAGTTCAACAGCAACCATACGATTCATCGTGCAATTGTCAAGTTTTAGAAACGGTCTACTCCAATTTGACAACAGACATAGTGCATTGCTCGGTTATTAATTCTCATACCAAGATACACATAACCTACAATCACTCGCTTCTCACCACGTGGAAAAAGCACAAGCCTCCTGTTTATGAAGCCAGATATTCTGTAGCTATTGGTTCCACAATCTATCTATTTCTAGGATTTGGTCTGGTGTATATTCTTGTACTGGACATACCGCGTATCGTGGAGCACATCAAGAAATACCATAAGATTTTCAATAGAAAAGAAACAAAAGTATCAAATTAAACAACCAACTGTGGTGGTATGCCAGTGACTCAATTAGATAAGCGCAGATTTTAGTTTTTTAAATGAACTATACAAACTACATCCAGCCTGCGAATCAAGGAATCAAGGAAAAAACTTTTGGTTGAAAATTTGTAAATGTAAAAAAAAAACTTTCAGATAAAAAGAAACGCTTTAAAGATTGTTCACTGCCAAGCTCAGTCATAATTTTGTCAAAGATAGCACATTGTTTCAGCAACAATGGTCTTCAGGTCAAAGGGAGATTTGGCAAATAGATCCAACAGATGGACAGGGAAAAACTTGTAATGATAAACAAAGACTTCTTTTTTTTTTATAGAGAATGAAACAATTTATAAAGAAAAAAAATTAATGAAATAACAAAAAAAAACATATGAATGCTTTGTCTAAGCCAGACATGTAAAGGTACTTTTAAAAATACGGCTCATAATTGAGTAGGTACCTAAACAATACAACCTAAAGAAATGGAATGTCACAATAACCTGTCTTTAACAAAAGTATATTATAATCATCTAATGCTAGGTATATTAAATTAGGTTAATATTATTAAACGACTACATCCCTTAAATGGTCATTTGAAAATTGGTCACAAAAACGTCATAAGCAAATATGTCACAGGTAAATTGGTCAAAAGATAAATAGGTCACAAACTTAATTGGTCTCAATTACTCAAGTCTTATAGGTGAATAGGTCAAAGTAATATGGTTACATGGTATGTAGTTCACAAAATGATTTCTAATTGGATTTTGTAAATTACCAAAACAGACAATTTTAACTTCTGACCAAATTGTGACAGAGAGAATATATTTGAGTTAGATGGATAGTTTAGAAACTAAGTTACAATTTTACAGTCAAAACGGGCACCACACAAATATTGCTATGTGTTATTTGGTTTGATTTATTATTTGTCAACTGAAGCCTTCTGACATTTACCATACCACAATTTCATAAGCCTAACCTGTGCAAGAAATAAAAGGAGATCAACATATTATTTCGAATCAAGTTATACATCTTCTGGCGATATATAATAATGGAATAACATTTGGTCAACTACTAATCTCATTATGTAACTATTGATACATCAAAACCAAATGGTATATCAAAATAATATAGCTATCTAATAACACCATTGAACTATTGGCAAATATAAGTACCTATACTACATGTATAATATGTTTGTATCTAAATACCATAAGTTTCCACACAGAACCAAATTTCATGTTTTTTAATTATCTGTGTAGTAATGGGAAGATAATGGCAACAAAAAATAGTATTTATAAGACAATATGCTTCATTAAGTATATATGTTGGTATTGACAGTTGGGCAACTCTTGGTATGTTTCAGAGACTTACTTTTTATTTAAATCTACATAAAATTAAGAATGACATTCAGAGATATAAAAGTGAAAATTATCAATTTCTATAATCATGTAATAGTGTAAGTTATTCATAGTAAAAAACAAAATATTTTACAGCTAGCAAGGCATGATTTCAGCCCCCATATGGAAATGAAAGTATGTTAAATACTACAAGATAGCACTTTTCTGGATGGAATTTTGAAGTACTGAAGGAAGACATGTTTTTTTTACACTTTTCCTTTTGTGGTTTGGAATTCCTTCAAAAGTCCAGCTCTACATTTTGGACAACTACTGATGTCCATTAAATGAACCACATTTGGATGGACAGAACAAGGATATCTGATTCGTCCATAGAAAACATTTCCACATGAACGACACAAGATATTCTTCATGCCTCTTTCACAGGAACATTCAGTCTTTTCTGGTTTAATTGTCACTTGTAGTTGTGTCTCATTTACTCTGTTTTTAGTAATATATCTCAAACTTAGTTCCTTCTGAAAACAAGAGATAAACTTTGTATAGTAGGTTCATTGCAAATTTTAGTCGAAAAGCAAATAATCAAATAAATTTTACGATGTAAATACCCTAGATCTACACCAAAAAATTCAGTGGTAAGCTCTAGAGTTAAAGTCCCTAAGATCTTGCTCAGTAGACTACTGGCTGATTACTGTGGCAAGTATCCCTATCAAGAGAATGCTTATACTTAACCATTAATTTATGGTTCCTGCAAATTAGGGAGGAATGCAACACCTTTTTGGCATTTTTTGCTTTGGCCCAACTCATGCCTATGCGAGTTCTGTCACTGTGTGTAACTGGATAGGTCAACTAGTAATCAACACTCTTGAAGCTTATTTGTTGTCATTTCAGACTAGTAGCCTTCTGCACTACTCTTCTCAGTTTCCATTTAAATCAAGCAAAGCGAAGTGGAAGAGTCATTGATTGACATTGCTCACTGGAGGTGAAGAAGATGCATCCTGCTTATTCTGTATTAATTTGGTACTGTAATTTCGCTCAGTTGCAGTTGACATTGAATATGGGTCGAACAATCCCTGACTGTAATGTGCTTTGTTCATTGTCATGGTTGTTTTATCAGCTCACAACTTGTTTCTTAACTTTAATTAACGTCAGTGACTTTCACAAGTTTCTCTGCAACTGAATATGGCGATGGTCACGTGAGATAAAAACGGCCAGAAAGTAAAAGATTACGTCAGCTCTTTCTATTTGATTGGTCAGAATATTTTCACTGGAATCGAGACACGCCCATTTCACATTAGGTGTGCGCGGAAAGTGTCTATCGTAGACCAGACGCAAAGTTGATTTTCAGTTGACACTCATCCTCAGAAGAATTTTACGGGTTTTTTTTAATCACTTGAGAGGAATTGGGGGTTTCTTATGTCATGTCATCACTTTCAAGACGTAAAAATCTATAAAAACAATATCTAGGACTAAGCAAGAAAGTCTAGGCCTATGTCTTTTTCGTTAATTTTTCATTGTAGCATTTTATTAGGCCTAAAAGGCTTAGATCTTATTGATATCTTCCAAAATAAAACTTGTAACAGTTATTGGGATACATTATTTTTTCCTCATTAGGCCTATACTTCCATTTTGGCGCTTATTTAGCCTTTAATTGATCACTAGGTATCTGCGCAACATGTTGCCGAAAGGCCCGTAGTCTTGATTGTTCGGAAAGGCAAGTATATAACCGGAAAGGCATTGGTTCAATGCTTATTGAACGGGATTGTCCCTTGTCAGAATTTTTTTTTGTAGCTACGGTTGCCAAAAATATTTTACTTTTGGGAGAAGAGTTAGTATAGTCCTCATATATACATATATTATCTATTAAATCTTTCGAAATAGAACGTTAAGGTTCCATGTTCAAACAATCTTAAAAATCGCGAGCATTTCTTATTTTGAAAATGAGTACAAGTCACGTGCAAACCAACCGACGAAAATCACGTGCTCATACACGGTGACCCATTTTTAGACAAAAAGTATGAATGGAACAAATTGAAAACACTATTGAAATCTAAACAGTACTGGAAGAAGTTTAGTAGTAAAGTTGAATATTTTATTAGCTTTTATTTATAATATAGCAACTTCAGTTAGAGTCTAAAGTTAGGTCAAAAGCAACGTTCATTGTCATGAATATGTATATAAAATATGGATATTAAAGCTAATAAACAGAAAACAGAACAAAGTTTTAGTCTAATTTTTATCAGACTGTGGTGTTGATCCATGACTAGATTCTTATTATTGCAGTTTTGCGTTTGTGACGTCATACTTTGGCATGCTTTTACAAAAGTCAAACAGGATATAAAAGGGATGGTGCAAATGGAAGCTATAATAGCACCCAATACACATATATAAACACCAAAATCTTCCTTACAATTTGATTCTGTCTTTTGGAAATTGTAAACGAGGGACGCCTTTAATTTAATTACAATATAGGACAAGTCGAAGGTGTTCCTAACTCGTTGGGATATCTAAACTGGACAGCACAAACTGGCTACAAGATGTCTGCGCCCATTGAAAACAACAACACAGTCACAGAGAACAGATAATAAACTTGATAAACTAGATGGTTTCCGTCAAATACTAGTTATTTTTAGTAAGTATGCCTCTGGTATAGCTATTTTAGTGGAATAATCACTTAGTCACTGGCATTATAATATACGGACATAGCTTCAGGTTACTTTTGTGAGTTTCAGTTTCATTTTGACAGAAAAATGTTAGCCAAATGTTATGTATTGAAAGTTCACATTTTTAATATAGTTCTCCGAGATATTTTAAAAAAATGTAGTCCAAGTGTCTATAGATGAGACTGCTGTCTTAAAATCTGAATGATACAGGTAGACCAAAACATCTGTCTCTATTCCAGCCTCTGATAGCTATTTAGACAGATGTCAGCTAGTATGGAGACAGAAAAAATAGGCCCTGTTAAATGGGAAAATTCCGTATATCCGCAGGTGTGGGGGTTTTAAACTTATTTAGATACCTCGGTTCTGCAAAACTGAGGTATATTTGGAAAGACGAATATTTTTGTAGTTCAGTCATACCATCATTTTCTCCCTGCACTGTTTATGTCATGTCTCTCTGGTTCCATTAAAGTTTTTTTTGTGAAAATGATCTAGCATCGGCCATTTAAAACTGTGTGCCAGCCTAAGGTTCAAAGGTCACAGAGTCACGTGATACTAACCATAAGTTACAGTGATGCCCAACACTAATTTACAATCATGTTAAAGGTAATTCAATATTATGTTAGAGAAAACGCATCTTTGGAGGTGTGGAAAATCCCCATTTAACAGGGTCTTTTTCTTCTGACTCTACACCAGCTGACAACTGTCAAAATATCCATCAGAGGCTGATGTTTGAGACTATGATACACATATACTTTCTTTGTAAATATGTTTGAAAAATTTAAATTGTAAAACTGATATTTCAGCGGAAAATTATTTTAATTTGGGCATATGCATTATTAGAAACTTTATAGGAAGTTCTGCTTTTTCAGAGATGAGTGATGTCAGTAAACTAGCTGGAATAGAAAGTTCTGCTATAAGTCTGCTAACAAGAGCTGTAGAGTTAGATAGTAATAAAAGATACGAGGAAGCTGTCACTTGCTATCAAGAAGGATTACAGCTGCTCTTAGAGGTTCTAAAAGGTAGAAACTTTTTCTCATTTTTTCTTATTCTTTAATCTCACATTACGCTCCAAAATGTTCACATGTACATGTAACCCTAAGTGACAGTAAAAAGCTCAGGCAGTACTCCAGTAGCGAGTTGGTCTACTGCTAGGCGATTAATTGCATGGCTGTGGATTGAATTCTGATGTCATAGCCATTGCTTTTGAGAGTAGGCCTTATATGGCTTTCATCCCTTTATACTTAATGGAAAAATTTAAAGAATGTACAGAATTAATCTAATTGATTACGCTTTATGTTATATGCAGTATGATTATGTACCAGTACAGTATTATGTTCCATTCATTTTTAGGTACAAAGGATGAATCCAAAAAACACAGATTCCGTGATAAAATTCAAGAATATATGTCAAGGGCCGAAGAGCTAAAAACATTGGTTAAACAAGAAAAAGAAGGTCAGTGTAACACAATTTTGGTTAAACACAAGATGTTGTGCAAATTTGAATAAAACTGGCTGGGCAACAGGTTCATTTTAAAGTGTGTGAATAAAGTGGAAACGCTGTGTTGCATTGTCTCTAAGTTGGCACAATGAACATGATCCATGGTAGTGAAGCTTCAAAAGGTATATGAGGATGACATCAATATTATGCATTGTGAATGTGTCAAGTAGTTTCTGTTTGGAAATTTGTATATAATGTAAACGTGAAGATTGTAGTGTGTCACATTGAATAGAAAAATATTTAAACATAAGTACTGTAAGATTCAAGATTGTGACCTTGCATATCAATGATTCTGAATAATTATTTTGATTGATATCAGTTATATGATTAATATAGATAAGAGAATTCTAATATGGAATACATTTACTGATGATAGCTGCCTTTGACCAGGATTCTCAAGACTTTATATTCCATATATGACTTAAGTTATCTATATCAGACCACCTTTTGTAAATGCCATCCAAGGAATATATATTTGATTAATGATCTTTCATTTTTAGATGGAAAATATCATGAACAGATTCATATTGATAATGGTTCTAAAGGAAATAGTTATGAAAAGTTATTCTCAAGATTTTTTGATAATAATGTTACCTCTGTTGAAATTGAAGATCCTTATATTAGATCCACACATCAGGTTAGTAACATTTTTAACAGTCAGAAAAACTTTAAAGGGCCATTAAATGGCACACTTGTCCCTTTAACTAAACACCAGAAAAACTTACAGCACATTATTCCAGGGGAGAAATTAATCTATTGTTACTTTTTCAACACAAAATGTCTTGACATTGATTATCACTGCACATTTATCAATGATCTATTTAATGATATGATTTGTATACCAAAAATCTGCAAATTAACCTACATTATAACGAATTATACTCTGGAAAGCTGCTCATTACAGCTGTTATCTTGCAGCTGTTGTTTATGTGTAGAAATTATCCATATTTCAGATATTTGGATAGCAATTGATTGTTGTGGGCTTCTGGAACATTTGTGATTGATTTTTAACATTATCAATGATTATATATTTCAGATCTATAATTTATTGAGATTTTGTGAATTGGTTGTGAAATTAAAGTGTCCTGTTAGAACAATAACATTAACAACTAGTAGAGATGAGGTTAGTAAATATTTACTAACATTCTACTTTGTACCTATTCTCTAGCAAGCAACAATCTAAAACGTACATAATGAAGCCACAATGAAGAACTGTGGTTTCGATTATCGTTTATTCTACTACAAAATAAAGGTATAGTCAAGCAAAGCTATTTCTGCTCATTTGGATTCATTTCAAAACATAGCCAAAAGCTAGTAGTTTAAATAGTAATCAACAGTCTGTATAGTTTTTATTACTGTTTATTGTACAAATAAATTGCACTGCATGCATTTTAAATTGGACCCAGATGGCCAAAAATATCTTTGCTAAACCATAGAAAACCCTAGTTTTATGTTTACATAAAATGATTTGCTTTAACTTCTTTGTAAGACTATACACAATGTAAAAAATATTATACAGAATACCCAGAAACAAGAACAGAATCTTGGACAAGTTAAGAATGGTTTACAGCATCATGGTATTGAGTTAATTATCCAGTATTCTACCACATTACATGATAGAGAAATTAGGTAGGAGTATTAATTGGAAATAACAATTTATATTTATGATTAGATATTTGTAAACAGTTGTACTACTTTTATGTTAGATTTGACCTACTTTAATGATTAGGTCCTGACAAAATTCTCCACATTGTATGACATTGGTGATAGTTTCGGCCCAATACCACTACCATTCCACTAGGATACATTATATCTTTTGGAATTTTTATAAATGTGTGAATTTTTCTCGTATTGTAGGTTAGATACAGGCTGGGTGATAAAAATAGGACGTGGTTTAGACATTTATAAAGGTGTAGATAAATTTGCTGTTGGTTTCTGTGATTTTGATCTTAGGCCGTGCCATGAAACTACAATAGATGTATTTCATAGGAAAAACATGAAAGGAAGTTGATAATGAACTGTTTAATTTTATAGGACAAAATCTGTGATATTTGCAATGTTAATGTGAGGTATAGAAAGTATATTAATGGTATGGAAGGTACAACCAGGTGTGATCCGAACATATTAAACAAAATATGAAATATAGCGGGAGAACTCCCATTATGTTTCCAATTGAGCCTGTTGTACATAAATTCTGCAATCTTTATTATTATTGTGTTAGCTCATTAAACCTATTTCATTAATCCTAGAAATCTACTAATACTCAAAATTAAAAAGCATAAATATCACATTAGTCCGTGTTTTATTCAATTTATGCAAACAAGAAAGTGGATTTTTGGGGCAGTTTAAAAAAAAAATTCTGTTTTGATAATAATCCATTCATGTCATGTATATATAATTTTTATTTTCTATTTTTATAAAATTAATTTTTATAAACAAAATATTGTTAACTATTCGCACAATAGGTTACAGATGAATTTAAAGTATTCATGATTTCATTAATGTCTTTTTTTAATGTCGTTCTTGTCTTCCAATTTATCACTTTACCAACCGATAAAGCCTTAGTCCAGCTACATATGAAAAGTCACTTTTAGATTTTGTCTGTTATTTCCTAGAAAAAAACTAATGACATCAATATATGGGTTGTTGAGACTTTTCTGGTTTTCTTGGAAGCATGATAATTGAAAATTAAACAGTTCTAGCAGGAACAGGAAATAGTATTTTCATTGTGAAAAGAGATTCAGGTAGCAGAAATTAAGGTCAAACAACTGGTCGAGGGAATACTTAGATCTTCTTTATATCCCATTCACATTATATAGCAGATCATCTTAAAACAGAATACATTTGTAATTCTGGACTAGAATAAGTCTGTACTCGACTAGTTGATAAATCTGTAGTATGAGTTGGTGAACGAACTTTAATTCTCCGAACATGTGTATCACGTCCATTTTGATGATTAGATAAAATTGCTACTTGTATCATAAATGTTCTGATAGGTTTATCATTTGAGTCTTTTAATGGCACTGATATCCAACCCACTGGCTCTGTCATTTCTAATAGCTCTACTTCTATTAAATCATTAAAATGGCTTCCAACTCTTATAGAAATCCTGAAATATCAAAACATTCATTTGACATTGAATTAATTTAGAGGTTAACAGGTCATGATAATACTCCCTGTTCCCGGCCCATTTCAGACTTGATATAAAACATTATTGATAAATTTTGAAAATCAAGTTCAGATAAACCAAAGATATATATATATAAGTTTATCTACATGTACTTACTTATTAGGTGTGTAACTTTCATCAGCTTTATAATTTGCAAAAAAACATATGTCATATATTGTTGTTTTCCTTCTAAACTGTATATTAGCTAGGTGTGGTTGAGGACCATCTGATTGCCAATATGTATCATATGCATCATCACGTAACTGTTCCACTCCAAAACCTATTAATATGACATTATTTATAATAAAAGATTATAGGTACAAGGTATTGATTATTGATTCTATACTCAACTTTTCATAGAAGAGTTAGGCCTATATAGCCTACTATACATGTCCAATGGGAAAAATGGTCATTAAGAACTTATTCTTCAGAGCAGTTAACCTTACCAATTAATAAGATCTATAGACCCTCCTGTAGGCACTCCTTCGAAAAGCAGGCTTATTTTAGAAGGCAAAGTCGGAAGATTACACTCGCCATAAAAAATTATAACGATTCGGGCTTTTCTCACCTGGTTTACACGAAGATAAAGACCACGCAGCTTGGTTTCCAACTTCTCTCAACTTTCCCTCTTTTTCATCTTTAAATATATTGTTGTTCTGGGTGCCACTGACTTTTATAGACATTTTTGTTATTTTCGCCAAAAGCTAATTTCGAACTTCGCCATAAACAGTAAGGGGGGTAACTCTGAAGGTGCTTTTGAAAAACTTAAAAAATAATGGAGATGTCGTGTTGAGATTATATGTGGAAATGATTTTCCGTTGTTTAGGATGGGGCAATTATATAAATCTATTGGTCACTTACAGAGGATTTTTCTTCCTTTGACAAATTTTAACTTTATAAATTGAAGTCTGGATAATCGTGACTAGTCATAAACCACCTTTCTTGACTTTATTTTAGAGAGTATGTTTTGATTTTTTGAAAGACTGTCGGAAAACAATTAAAATGGGGCAGGTGTCAATGTTATCACACTTGACAATGAAGCCCCTTTCTTTGTTATATTTTTGCTGCCACAGATTGAAAAGGGTAAACAATATGCTTAAAAGAGTAGGCTAGATATCTATGTATGATTGATACATAGGCCTAAATTTTTAGTACGGTAGTTCAGTTACATCTTATCTTACTTACTGTTACAGTAACTTACTTATTTCGATCAGTGCCAACTGAAAGTGTTGATACTTTGGTGTTTGTAATTCGATCATGGCATTCATTCAATGTCAAATAGACTCATTTGTCTTTTGATATTTCAATTACACTGTTAGAAAGAACAGAAAATAGGTTTGAAGCAAACAGCCTTTGTCATTATTTCAGTTGATTACACATGTAGGCCTATAGGATGTTAGTCTGCTATTTTTAATTTTTGTTCAAAGCATAGAACTGTATACTGTCAGTATGTTCAAAGTAATGGTTTTTTATAATAAGCAAATATTATGTAACTTGAATTTATATTTGAAGGATATTTTCCTTTTGTTTTTCAGGTGATTATGAGGCTAGGGATAACTTCTAAGTGGTTGGTGGCCTCATCATATAGATGATTATTTCATTTTGTTTATGGTTGAATAGGTCCTAATTAATACAAAGATGGCATGGTCTATTGATAAAGATTTGAGTTGCCTAGTAAAGGAAAGTGTACAACAACATCCTGATCAGATAGCTGTTCTATTTGATGATTACAAGTCTAAATGTTTTCTTACTTATAATGAATTCTGGTCAAGAGCTGCAGAGGTAAATAATCATTATTCATACTTGATCGGATGTTTACGTCAGATCTTTCTCCTCTTTTATCTTCTTGTGGATTAGGGTTATCAGGTTCGCTCTCTGCCTTTTCGAAGCAAATGGCAGTTCTCTTCATTTCATTATGTGCTTGTGCAAAATATTGTTTTGCTCTATATAGGCCAGTGCTTTCATTGAGACGCGTCTCAATACACCCTACCACTGTATCATGAAGTTATTTTAATAAAATAGTTAATTGGAATGTTTGATTAAGTTTTTTGGTCTTCTGTTATAAAGATTCACTTGCAGTGTCTGAAGACATTCTTTGTGTTTATTCTTTATGTTTGACTTATTAATTTCAATTGTTTATATAGATAGCTGATGGCATTTCAAAAGAAAAACTCAATAGTAATGTAATTGCAGTATGTGTAGATTCTACCATAGATCTACCATGTATATTATGTGGGTATGTATTCCTCAATTATGTAAAAGACAGTTCACATTAATCCACTAAATAAACATGGAGATTTCAGATGAAGTTAATATTGAAGCTACACAGTTCACTTTTATCTGAGTTTTTCAACCATGTTGAAGACAGAATACAGATTGCCTTAAATGACCCATAGGAACCTTCAGTTAGCTACTCTTTAATTCACTTTGTTATTTCAAAAATTTTACTATACATTAAATGGTATATTTCAGGGTTTTGAAGTCATCATGCAGCTTTTACCCATTCACTATAGACAGTAAAGGTTTTATCAGTCACAGTATAAACAGTCTGGGAATTGGTTATCTGTTAGTTAATTCAAACAAATTGGAGGTATATTATATTATCTTTTTTAACAACTGACTATAAAAGAATAATTGCAAAATGAAATGGATTAAAATGACTAATTTATGATATTTTAGATAATAATTAGCTATCAACATTTTAGTATAAATGTATTTGCTGCTTGCTGCTGTCTTGTCCATTTCTATACAGACATTTGTTCACTTAATACTTATAGAGACCAAGTTTGGTATATAAGATGAGTGGAAGATAATTATTTTTTAACAAATTAGTCTTTTGTTTACATATAATATGTTATCTTTTTTTGCAGGAGTTACAAGATGTTATATCTGAAAATCATGGCGAAGTTATTCCATCATCAGGTCTTTTGAAGTATAACCTGGTATTTCTAGCTTTGCGAAGAAATCATGTGACTGATACAGTTGACCAATCAGATCAGGCGTACTGTATAACTACATCTGGAACAACCAGTGCCCCTAAAATTGTTTCTGTTCCTCATAGGTGTATTGTTTCTAATCTACTAGCTCTTAGGTAAGTTTCAAAAAGCTTTTTACCAATAAATTATTAGTTTAAGCATGGCTTTATTCTTTAAATTGTCTCTTTTACCCATCCCTTCTGATATTGTATCAATTATTTGACTGGCAGACCTTTGTCAATAATAACTATCAGAGACCAGATATTGATATACTTGAGAATTTATAGAATGGAATAGAAACAACATGATATGACATTGTGGGAAAGTGACAGTGCTTTATGTATCTTTTTCAGAGAGATATTTTCAGTGTCACCAGAAGATTGTTTGTTTCTGGCCTCCCCATTAACATTTGATCCGTCTATAATAGAGTTGTTTATTAGTATAATTAGTGGAGCTAGTATATTAATAGTACCTGACTATATCAAACAGATACCTGATAGGTTATTAGATATATTATACCATAGAAACTCTATCACTATTCTACAGGTAAATCGTTTAATGTCGATTAAAATCGCCACGTCTTTTGCAACGGCCAATCACAAAGGGACACATGTAACGAATGGCATCAGTCATCTTTGGTTGGGATAATACCTTTGGATATTTCATCAATGCTCACCTTGTCAGTGATGCTGGCTGGAGGGGTCTTGCATGGAAAAAATCTTTTGGATAAAATAAAAAAAAAAGAAGTACTCATGTGCTTCTGGTTGTGCAAGTTAACGATGTTTTAAATGTTTTACAGCTTTACTTACCTAACTGTTATTTTCTAGGCAACCCCATCACTGTTATATCAGTTTAAATCTAGTGAACTAAAAAGAACTCTACTAGGAAACAATACCAGTTTACGTATATTAGCTCTAGGAGGTGAAGAGTTTCCACCAATATCAGTTGTTAACCAATGGAAAGATCCAGGTTGTCCTGTAGAGTTTTATAATCTCTATGGTATAACTGAAGTTTCCTGTTGGTCTAATTGTTACCATGTAACTGCTGAAGATTATAAGTAAGTGAAACCATCTACCAGTTCCATACGTCTAAAGCATTTTCAGATTTGAAAAGTGGGTCTTTAGCTAGATCACTTAAGAAACCCTGATGTAAATGTTTTGAGCACAGCTAACTGACATTTACATATGCCTTTTGGCCATAAAGTGGTTTTCACATACTAATGGCTTTCGGCTTTTTATTCAGATTAAAACTGAAAAATGTACCTATTGGTGAACCATTAAATGGAATAGAGGTGAAAGTCACTAATAAAGATGGAGAAAAGATAAGACAGGGAGAAGGATTATTATGGATTGGTATGTCTAATAGTATTTACTTAATATAATACTTAATTTATAATTTCTTATTTGAATTCCTTGTCAGGATATTTTTGACACTCTTGGATATACTCTTACGCATATAAATCTACTAATAAACTGAATGTAACAAATTCCACTGCCCTGAATTTGATGCCAGATCTGGATGGGCCTATCTTTTAACTATTTACTTGCAGCATCCTTTTCATAAAGTCCACATAATCATAATTATGTTAATTTTTGTCATTGTTCTGATCATGATAATATTATATTTTTGTATATAAAACAGGTAGTAAAGAAAGAGTATGTGATATAAATAATGAAAGAAGAGATATAAATAATAAAGGAGATATAAGTAATAAAGATATAATATGGAGATGTACAGGAGATATTGTTAGGATATTAAACAACAGTCATATTATATATCTCTATAGAACTGATACTCAGATAAAAAGACAGGGTAAAAGACTAGACCTTTCTACAATACAGTCAGTAAGTACTTTATGAAGTAGGCAAATTATTTGCGCTCATATAGGTTGTTACCGATAACAAACCCTTATTTGAAATTATAGTGTCATCCGAATGTTAGTTCTGAACCTTTCTACTTAATTTGAAAAATAATAGGCTTGCTTTTATAATGCCATAGAAAGGAGCATGAAACGAACAGACTTACTAAGACACAGTTCTTTCAGAGCCTCTCAAATGAATGAGGCTTGTGTAAATCAACTTAAATAGAGACAACTTTGAACAGGACATCAGCTTCAGAACTTAAGGTTTCTTTTGGTGATCAATTAAGAAGAATTGAATAACTACTATATTTGTTGTAGTGTGTAATGGAAGTTGATGATATTAAACAGTGTTATGTTATTTATGATGAGAATAAACTATGGGTATTTATTGTGTCAGAGATGGTAAACGAGCTGGAGACTATAGTTCTGTCTTATATACAGAATAAATTACCACTTTATTACCATCCTGATTGTGTTAGAGATATTCAGTCTTTACCACTTACATCTCACGGTAATTTCCTTCATTCATTCACATTTGTTTCTTTGTTCAATTTATCTCAAGGCAAATTACTTTTTGTATATACTTGTTTACAATGTAACACTATTGACCCTTTTTGATGAAATATTGTTTTTTTTTAGAACATGATGCTGTATCCTAATTTGTATACTTCAAGAATCATCTCTGTTTTAAAGAGATTATAAACTAAGTGTTTGATACACCTAATCATGAGGGTCTTAGGTGATACAAGCATATTTCGCAATTATTGATGTCATCAAACACTTAGTTTTAGTGGAATTGCTGGAACCACAGAAGTCTGATTGAAAATTGGAATAGTGCAAATTGATGCTATCAGTGCCCCCAATACACATACAAGTTTTATAAAAAACACTTTACAATCCCTTTGACTGCTTTTAACTGTCTATTATCTTTTTCCCTATTTACCAGGTAAAATCAATAGAAAGAAATTACTAAAAATAATGCATGAAGAGAGTAGGAACATCAAAATACCAACAACATTATGTGAGTTGACAAAATGGCTAAAGAATTTGTGGCAGGTAAGAGTTGAGTTTCCCTATAAACTTTAAGAAAAAATCATGTACTTTGACTATCAATGTTCTCATGTCTCTTTTTCATTGCCTTTCATTTTTTTTATAGAAACATATAAGTTTGGTTGATCAATGTAAAGAAGATATAACTATAGAAGATTCTAGTTATTTTATAATGTTAGGTGGTAACTCATTACAAGCTGTTTATCTTACTGACTATATACAGTCTGCATTACACAGTAGACATCCAGTTATATTGGACTGCTTATTGAACAAAAATTTCTCTCAAAATATACACTGCTTGTACGACATTATCAATATTTACATTGGATTAGATGAGATATCTACACAGAAACATAATGGTTCTGTTATTGAAAACAGTAATCCTAAGAAGCAGAAACTAGAAAAAGATGGTTTGGGATTCAGGAATGGTAAAGACGATTCTGGTAATCATCGATCTAATTTTGAATACTTCATCTGTCGAGGAAACAGAACATATCAGTGTGCTACAAGTTCTTTACAGCATGGAAAGATGAAGTCTTGTTGCAATCAACACAATAAACATGTTTCCAATTTATACAAATGTTCAGATTGTGATACAGACTCAAGTGAGTTCTACAAAGAAAACTCGGGTCTTCGAGAATCTCAGATTATCAAGAATAATGGTGATATGAAACCTAAAATAGAATTACAATCATTGTGGAAATATGATACAGGCAAATGTGTGGATTCTTCTCCTTGTGTTTCTGCAAGAAGGTAGGCTTGGTGTGTTTTTTATCTAAGTTATTTGCATGGGTGACATTGGCAAGCCTTTAATTCCAGATTTTAGAACATCATTTATATTATTATTAAGAAAGTAAAGTAAAGATACAAATCCAGAAATGCATGTTGATTCATTCAATCACTATTGCCTGTTAATTTCTATTCTGTTTCTATTTAGTGATGGTAGTAGTGTAGTTTTTATTGGTTCACATTCCCATAAGTTTACAGCTCTAGATGTTAACAATGGTGATATAATATGGGAAATATATCTTGGTGATAGAATAGAATCGTCACCCTGTCTATCTAACTGTGGTACATTTGTTATTGTTGGTAAGGTTTATCAATTTTAAAAAGAGACATGCATTTTTGAAATAATATCTTTTTTTGATATTAAGAACAAATTAAGGTTTTCAAGTAGTTCATTTTATGTATGAATTTTTATTACATTGATAGTGTTAATCACAAAAACACTCCTCAAAGTTGCTTGTTTGTACCAGTACCTACATGTTGATGTCAATATTTACAAATAAAGCCTCGAATAGGAGATAGGAGAGAGTGGCAATGTTGGTACATTACACCTATATGATGACATTGTCATGTGGCCATCCCTTTTTAAAAATTAGTTTAAAGGGAAATATGAGTTTATATTCACCAAACAATAATTTCCTTACAGGTTGTTACGATGGTATGTTATATATTATTAATGTTAATAATGGTGATATAAAATGGAGGTTTCAAACAGGAAGTCATATCAAATCATCACCAGTTTTAGATCCTCTAACATCATTCATTGTATTTGGGTCACATGATCAATGTCTGTATGCTGTTGATATAGATGTATGTATCTTTCACAACTTTAAATTTATTTAAGACCTATCTTCATCCTTTTCTTTGAAAAAGTTGATTGAAAAATGCTAATAAACAGCTGCCCTGATTGTAGATGTTAAAGACTCTGGCAATCATTGCACAATTTGATATTTTTTTTTTTTTTCAAATACATTTCATGTATAAAATGCAGCCTGATAGTGATAATAGTATCTAATTACTATTTGTTTTTTTTAAGAAAGAGGAATGTAAATGGAAGTGTGCTGTAAACAATGGAAGTCTATTCTCTACACCTCTGATATATAATAATACAGTTTATATTGGTACATTAGGTGGTCAGTTATTAGCTATTAACACGGTGAGTTATCAATTATTCTGTTAGACATAGTTACATTTTTCATAGAGCATTTCTATATCAATATCATATCCTTAAAATGAATAGAGCTAACCTTAGGCTGAATTCTTAATGCATTCACTTAGGCATTAAGAGGTTCCTCTGTCTTGAAAAACTTACTGTCCTTCATTGCTTACCAGTGGACAATCCAACTCAGATATATCCTTAATTAAACAAAAAATACCACAACTGCACAAGGGTTGTATTGCAGGGGTATGTAGGCCAATGTGTCAAGGAATGAAACAATTCAGAATGAATAGGATATCAAGCCAGTAACTGTAAAATTATGCTTAAATACTTATCAATATGATTAGATATTATTCTCTGTATAGGATGATGGTAGTATAAAATGGAGGTTAGACGTCAACAAGCCAATATTCAGTTCACCATGTTATTTATATAACAGTATTATTGTGGCCTCTGTTAATGGGTACATCTATTCTGTTTCTTTAACAGGAAATGTGGTAAGTCTTGTTATATAATACAATAAAAAAAATATGTGAACTTATAGTAGATCAATATAAAAGCCTCTTTGAGTTTCTCTATCCAACATTTCATTTCTGTTATCAAGGAACACTTTGGTTGTAAATGGGGTATAAAAATTTTGACAATTGAGGCGAAAAATAAGAAACAAATTTGTTATCTAATTTATATTAGAATGGCCTTTCTGTCATTTTTAATATGTGATCAAAAGTTTCATCTATGCATATCTTTTCAGATGTGGACATTCCAAACCAACGCACCGATATTCTGTTCACCTGTTATATCAGAGTGCAGACAAAATAAATGTGTCATTATTGGTTCCCATGACAATCATCTTTATTGCCTTAACCAAAGTGGGCAGCTCAACTGGAAATTCAAATCGTCCAGTCATATTTATTCTACACCTTTTGTGTATTCAACATCAACTAGACTTGAACATTCCAGCCAAAAGTGCAAAGAACTTTCAACTGAATCTATAGCCAAATGTAGAAATTGTGATCAATATGATGGCAATAAGTCTTCCAATACAAAGCATCAAGGCAGCAACAAATCTTTACCTAATGAACTGCTGAATAATGGAATGTGATAATGAAAGTCATCGATCTCAAACCATTAGAGATCAAAATTCTCAAGAAGTTATTTACTTTAAAGACTTCAAATCATGTCCATGTGAACCATATCAAGATTATATTTTAAGTGCCTCAACAAATGGTGATCTCAATATCATATCTGTCTCTACTGGTGAAGTACTGTACAGTATTCAGTTACCAGGAGAATTATTCAGTTCTCCTGTCATTTATCAAAATAAGCTATTAATAGGTTGTCGAGATAATCATCTTTATTGCTTTCAAATTGAGCATGAGTTAAAATAACTTTGAGATTTGTTGTGACCCAAGTGTGTGTTTTAAAGCACATTTTTGCGCTACTATGCTTTGCAACGAGAGAATTTTTGTATAGATAGCTGTACCTACAATCCAATCAAAGATAAGGTACCCTCTCTAACTGTATTTGCTTATTTGAAGAAACTGGATAGCCCACCATTCACTGATAAAGCCACATTGGCACTCAGATTTCATATGTTAATCATCCATGTTATGTTAAAGCTCACCATGTGCCTCTGCTATTTGTGCAATATTATTTATTACATTTTTATTTGTTAATGATTAAAGTGCCTTATTCTTCAATTGGTCTTACAGATATTTATTATATACTACTTTGTTCCTTATCTGATGCGTTTGTCTACCTACAATAAACTTAATGTTGTATGACACTGGTCCCTGTGATGTTGACAATATCAATACTTATCAAGTCTAAAGAAAAGGGTGGAACAGTCTAAATCTGCACAACAGATATCTTTCAAAAAAAAAGAGAAAAACAAGTCAGATATTATAAATTTTAATAAATAATAATTCCACCATTGCGATGATACATAGTGAGAATATGAATATGTGTACATTATATTTATATTATATTCAACACCACTGCTTAAGTTGTTACAAGGAACAAAATGCAGTTTCTGTGAAAAGAATGACATGAAAGCAGCCAATATGGCTTGAAATTTCATTTAACAATTTTTATGTGGGGTATGAATCAAGATTACTCAGAATATGAAAGTTACAAAATACAGAACATGATAACAGATCAAAAGAAATTTAACTTAAAAAATTTATGCTGTGAACTAACAAGAATAATTTTTCTGATTCAAGATTTGACGAAATTTAACTCAAATGTTTTTAACAATAGTTTTGAAAATATGTGACAAACTTATGTAACCATAATTTAATAATCATCATCACTACTACTGTTTCCATCATCTCTTATTGTTTTTTTCTGGATAGGTCGACCATAACCTAGCACACTTTTATTTCTACTGGCTGCAGCCTCGTCATCTAATGGTGGATGTAACAAGTCACCACTGTAATTAATAGCATCAGCTGTACCTAAACGCCATTCTAACATTTCTGTTGAAAAATCATCCTTATTGCCAAGATCATTAAAACCAACTATATAATCAGTAGTTTTACCATTCTTAGCCACACAAATAGTAGGTAAAACTTTAATTCTTAAACGCTCTACTAAAAACGGCGCCTTTTCTACATTAATTTTCAAAAATCGTGTTTCCAAATGTTTCGGAGCTAACAGATATAAATGTTTATCTACTATTTTACAGCGAAATGTACTGTCTCTGAAAAAATGGCACACCACTTTTTTACTCTTTTTACACTCATCAAAGAACTCTTTTTCATTGGCAATTTCTGTATATTCACCATGACCCTGGGCTAACCATTCTTGTTTTTGTTGTGCTGATTTTTTCATCATATCCATTCTCTTCTGACGCAAAGCATCAAAATCATCTTCATCCATTTTAGACATTTTTTCAATTTCAGCGTCCACCTGTTGCTCCATGGCCTGGGTGGCCTGGAGTAGATGTTGCTCTAAAGCTTGCTCCATTTTGCTTTTATCTAAAAAAAAATTTAAGATTAGTGGCTTGTTCATTATGAGAATATACAAATCTCAAAAGGCTTGTCAAAAGCGACAAAAAAATTCCATTTCTGAGACTAAGGTATGATTGGTCAAAAGAATGCTGCATTATATTGCAAACACAATATTCTAAATTCTAACTCTGAAAAGACTGTAAAAAATCAAACAATTATTGTAGTTCAGATAGCCGAAATTGAATAACAGCTTAAAATTGTGATGTACACAATTTGCTTTTGATTGCAGTCGAACAGAGTACACTACACTATTTAGACGCACCTATAATTGACAAACTGAGAAAATGAACGATGTTGAATTACTACGAATCAAAATGCCAAACCTACATTTTTCTTCGTAAAAAGTATTCTGACGGATCAATTACTTTCAGTTCAATGGTAACAAGAGACAGAAAGTTACCTGATTAGAACTGTTTCTTTACTATGATGTTCAGTGACTCAGTTATTGCAAGTCGCCATTTTCTTAACATGCGTTTACTTATGATACTGTAATGCGATTGGCTGTTCTTAAAAAATCAGCCAATCAAATCAAATACCAATCATAATGTCAAAGGTCAAACTTTCAAGGTAGCAACAACAAATTTGTTTGTTTACAGGTAAAATAATCTGTACGTCAATCATGTGGGGACAGGATTCTTTTTGTTGATGATCGCTAGATTCTTATTAAATTATGTAACAATTGTTAGTAACAAGATACAACTGACATCACTGTGAAGTATTAAATATTTCAATATTGTATTAAAGCCTGGTTCTTTAACTTTAACCATATTTTTTTCAGACCCAGACCATTTTAACAAGTTTATAATTCAAAACTTTTGCATTCTCTTTATCAGGTGACAGTTAATGGTCTGGCCAAATAGGAACAAAATTTAAGCTGCCTTTAAAAGCATATTAATATTTCAATAAGTCTGCAGTTGTAGACTATTTACATGAAAACAGTATTTTCATACTATAAACATCTGGAATTCACTGCCTGAATATGTTGCTTCATCTGATAACTAAAACCAATTCAAATCGAACCTGAATATAGCATGGAAGAACAAGGCCATTAAATTCAATCCGTCTACAATGTTGTAAATTAATTATTATCAAACCTACTTTTACTAAATTTTCCACGTCATGCGCACTAAACTATTATTCCGAGGTGATCTAGAAGCTTTTTAGCTTAAAACAGATCGAAGATCAGGTAAATCAGATGTTAAGCAAAACATTTGATGCTTATATCACACTATTGTTTACTATGTCAGGTGATCTAATATTAATTTTTGCCATGAAAAATTTTGGGATAAATCCTTGGATTTGTGGAGTGACTTGACCATTATAATAGTCCAAAACATCAGCCTCTATTCCAGCCTCTGATGGATATTTTGACATTTGTCAGTTGAAGTAGAGTCAGAAAAAATATACCCTGTTAATTGGGGAATGTTCGTACCTTCGAAGATGAGTTTTTTCAGATATAATATTAAACTGCCTTAACTATGATTGTAAAAAAGTGTTGGGAATCTTTTGTTTTGTTAGCATTACAGGCCCCCTTGACCATTGAACCTTTGCTGAGCATGCAGTTTTAAATGGTGGTAAAAAAATGATGGTATGACTGTACTACAAAAATATTCATCTTTCCAAATATATCTGGGCTTTGCAACCTTAAGAATATGTAGGAGATACATTTCTCTACAATTAGTCGTTTATTTGACTTGAATCCGTTCATTATTTTTTTTAACAGATTCCAAAAATGATATCGAAAACCTTATGTAATGTTTTTAAATATTTTTGGCTAATATTTAGCCTAACTGCTGGATTTTTTTAGATAAAACTTCCAGATACATTAAAGGGCACATTTCTCTAGATATTGGTGTACAAATTGGAGCAAAAAACATTTTTGACCTACAAAAAATGCAGAATGTCCCTTTACACCTACCACAAAATAAATTGGATTGTACTTGATTTGAATCTTCCCAAGATTATACAAATGGAATATTATAACACTGTGTTGTGTGCATTTTTTATTGACAAAAAAAACTATGAACTGAGGGTAATATCATTACATTTTCTTAAAATAATAAACTTAAACTGTCATTTGCCACTAGAGTTTTATGTTATTCATATTTACACACAGATTGAAATCTTGTTGTTTATTTATACTTTGATTCACTGTTTATTTTCCTTAAGTTGTCCAAAGTTTCTTGAGATATGTTTGGTGAAATCTCTCTTTCTTTAACTCTTACAGGATCATTGAATACAAATTGTCTGAAAAAAAAAAAGCTTAAAAGATAAATGGAATATAACAGGATATACTGACAATATAACATGCTTAATTAGAAGATGACAATTATAAATATTTGAAAAACATATTTCATGATCGAGCACAATCATCATAAAGGTTACAACTTTAGCAAGTATTGTCCTGAACTGCTTGAAGCATAAGTCCACCTTAATAGGCACATGAAGTTATTATACCGGATTTAGTCCAAAGTGGCAAGGATAATCACGGCTACTTACTGCCAAAACCAGACAGTTGCAATCGCAGCACAACTCACGAAAAACACTGGAAATCCATACAATTTCACCCTCTCCAAAGGGGTACGTTTCACAGGCTTGTCTGGGTTACTGTACCGACCCAGCCATCCACCTGCCATTTCACACTTTTATTTTCTGTTGTAATGATTAACCTTATTTCTTTACATATTTTCCGATATGACCTCAACCTTTACCGGAAGTTACAGAATGTCTATTAATCCGAACCCAACTACCTGGCGATCACAAGTAGAATGGTTGTTTTCTGACGTAGAAAGAGAAATACGGGCTTCCATTTTACTTTTTATTTCATAATGTAATTTGGTAGAAATTGATACACTTTCTTATCGTATTACCAATTTTGAGTCGTTTGAAAGATATTTTACTATGTTACTTCATTGGCCCTACAGAACGCAGGTGGTTTCGGATTAATGATTAGTCTTCCGGTAAGGCCAAGGTCGTTAGATATATCTCGGAAAAATATATGTTATAAAAGGTATCTTCAAAGATTTTGATAGATGCCGTGATGGTCTACCCCACTCTTCTCCGAATGGTGAATTCTCACCAAGCCCGTATGCTAGAGAGGTCTCGTCGTCGTAAAGGTCCAAACAAAGAAGGGTTTATGTATCGTACAAGAAATTATCCAATTTATATTTTCTGGGGAGTACTGGCGTGTGTGTTGATAAATTTTGCAAGGTAGAATACCCTTTCTCTGCTTTTACATAATAATAATTAATGAAAATTTCATGGTATGTCATGTAAAACTGATTAAAAATATTTGCCTTCTTTAGGCCTACTTGAATAATGTAACATAACAGAGTTTAGACATAGGACTACCATGTATTTAGTTATAAACTTTGCTACAGGCTGACAGTACAGGGTACAGCATTAACAATTCTGACATGTTTTATTCATCTGCAGGGTAATTCAGCAAACATGAAACATCCAATACTTGGAATATGATAATGCATGTAATACCATGCCCCATTTTTGTCTTATGACATTGACTTGTTACTTCCTATTTTTAAACATTCAATTCAGTAAAATAACTGGAATTGGTTAAGTAGGCTACATTACATTATGTGTTGTGTACTCTTGGTAGAAATGCTCATTAAACTATTACTGATTGAGAATTTTGTGTTATCTATTTTCAGGGATGCCTATATATTACAAAATAATCCACCAACTGGACCTATACAACGTAAATCATCTATTGACCTTGATAAATTTAAGATAGTTGATTCGAGAACTGAAGAAGAAAAAACCGAAGCAGCTAAAGAATTGGGATTATAAATAAAGTGCTGTATACAAGTGACATAATATATCTTTGGCTTACTAAGTGTTGAAATCATCTATCTCACTGTGTGGATACTGAAAGTCAAAGATTTCTAAGGAATAAGATCTAGTGCTGGCACGATATATCGGTCAATCACGGTATCGCTATATGACATGCTACGATACACATATCATATCGCATTGTCGCTAACCACTTCTATCAACTATATTATCAAATATTAGTGTTGAAACGGTTAACTATTTCACGGGTAACCGGGTCTGATTTGAGATAATCGGTTAACTATCACTTTTATAAGAAGTAAATATAGAGCAATTTTGACAGAAAATTCGTCACTGTATGAGTCTTTAAGCTGTTTTCTTTAATAAATAAACATCTTTATTGATTAAATAATGGTGATTAATAAATCAAGATAGGGTATCAATTATCAAAATTCTAAGAGTTGCAAGAATTGTGGTCAAGATTAATAAGCCTCATTTTTGATTTAAGTTCAACTAATTACTTGTTCTGGATAATTGCGTCAGGATGGTCTTAGTTTGTCGACAGTCGCCGTGTGCACCATTATGTTAATTAGGTTAAATAAATAAGCACTGTAATCACTATCAGACGTTCGGCAAGTGCCACGGTTCGTTAAATCTTGTATTTCAATAAAATTTAAATATTTCAATGAGATACACTCCGTTACACTGACCCCACAATTGGTATAAAAACCTTTGAGCTGTTAGAGACTGTAGCAATGAGTGACAATGGTGCCAGTCCGTCTAAACTCTGTCAGGCCCTCTCGTAATCTTACATTGAAGCAGACGCTTCAATGGGTTGTTTGGTATATGTTGATTTGTACCGACAATTCGCGGGGCTAGCATCCTGGGTACTCATTTAAACTTTCTCTAATTTAGTTACCAGTGAGTTGCCGCCGCAATAGCAGTTTTTGACTCCTTTTATAATCTTTAGTAATTAACCGGGATCAACTGGATAACAAACGGTTATTGCCGACGATAACCCGGTTCGCAAAATTCACTAACCGTTCCAACACCATCAAATATCACAGTTATAAAGTTATAAATTAATATTAAATAGAAACTTTGAAGATAAAAATTATCATATGTATCGTATCGTGATACTAATCTTATCGTGGCATAATTGACGATATCCAGCACTGATAAGATCACTTGGCGAGTGTTTTACAATATTTTGTTTTATGAGGTAGACTAATCATATCCTAGTTTACTTACTGGAGATTTTATCACTATCACTGAATAACTAAAACATAGCCAGTTCTGATAAATTGAGTGACGGAAGGGGGCTTGGAATTTGGATATAGATAATTATGTGTAATTTGAGATGAATATCATAAGTTGCAGACTGAATTCATTCTGTTTCCCTTGTTGTATGTTGTGTATTTAGAAGACTAAATGAATGGAATGGATGGAAAATATATATAATTATTCTTTTATACAAGATATTGAATGGTTTGCTTGTAAATAAAATTATGTATCATACAAAGTGTGTTCTGATTGAATCAAAAGGCCCTTGAAAATTTCTGTTCATGGTGAATGAATACTGGTAGCTAATATGGAGTTTCCTCCCTTGGTATATGATCAAAGTTAGGATTATGTAGACAGTATTGTTAGTAAAATTGAGGAGTTATTTGTGATCATCTAGACCACCTACAATCCACTTTAGTTTTGAGAACACTAAATAGTAATTGAAAACAGTGTTTAAGAACTTGATAAATAAAGAGGCCATGGACAACATGCAGTTAGTAGCAGAAGATATAGCATCAGCCTTGGTAACCCTGTTATACATGAAAACCTTAAAGAAATGATTCTGATAAAATTGCCTTTATACATCAAATTGTTAAAATTATATACAATCATTACATATCAATATAAACAATCTCTTTCATGGGCTTTAACAGAATTTTTGATAATTTTAACAACTCATAATGGATGAAGCATCAATCAAAGGGATATAATCAAATATCTGCTCTGCCAACTGATGAAGCTCATTTCTACCACTATGAATCTTAAACAATGGAATATAAGTCAGATTATTTCTTAATTGCAGATGAAATATGCTACAGGTAGCAGAAATTGAGCTCTATCAGTTGATAAAGAAATTATTTAGAAAAATAATATCCCATTGAGTGATTTCAAATGTAAAATTTCCATTTGAAATTTGAAATCATCAATGCTTGTGCATGATTATTCTTTAAACCAGAATTTACTTATAAATGAAGTCTGGCGGTCAATTCAAATACTTTGAATACATGGAATAGCTAGCTCATTGCCATAAACTGAAGTAGGATGACAAAAAAATTCTACCAAAACATTGCTTGTCCTGCATGTTGACTCTTTTGTTCAGTTGAATCTAAGAAAAGTACTATACTGTAGCATATTCTCACTTATACACATCCTATTCATGACATTCAAAATAAAGAAATGCAAATTTGCGTTTGACTGAAAGCTGAGATGATGTCCCCCAATTTCCATTGTATCACAGTAAATGTATCTTCTATCACGATTGCTCCTCCTCTGAAGATGACGAAGATGATGATGATGATGAATCTGAAGAACTGTCAGAAGAACTATCAGTTGATGTACTGTCACTATCAGAATCACCAGAACTGGAGGAACTATCACTATCACTAGAGGAACTAGAATCTGTATCGGTGGAACTTTCACCATCAGACCTGCAATATGTTAAGAATTTTTCTACACATAATATAAAATGAAATGGAGTTTTACGTCCTACTAGACGCTTTTTCCATATCAGCCCCTTGTACCTGCATCACTGACAGGGGGAGACCGGATTGAAAAATCCGAAGGTATTATCTCGACATATGCCTGGATTGAACCTTGGACCTTCAGGTTAGCGAGCAAACGTCTAACTCACTGAGCCACCGCGGCTCCCTACACATAATATAAAGAGCTGGCATTGATGAAAGTTATAGGTCTATGCGCCATTCGTTCAAGTAGGTAACTAATTAAACTGAATAGATAAACATGTAGTCCTAGATGATTTAGTTTATATATAGAGGGTATGTCTTTGAGGATCACATTGTGTTGTATTTTAAAGTTGTAAAAGCCATTTGAATCATGACCTGTCCTCACAGGTTCTGCTAATTTATTCATTTACCAATCTTCACAATGTCAAGCTATAATGAACTTTGTCTTATACCATTGGGCTTTTTTCATGCATCATGCGATTCAATGATTTAATTGGATTCTTTGAATAGCAGTTTGTAAACTCAATCGAATTTTACATTGTGGCTTAAAACAGCACAAAATTGTATTCAGGTGTAACAAAACAATTGTAATTTTCTTACGTTTTAGCTTTTTTCTTTTTGTCCTGAATACTGGATGTTTTGACTCTGAAAAGGAAAAAAGTTAGATATCTTGAGATAGTCGTCCATTACTATAGACTATGTGACAGGAATATAAGTAGAGATTATTACTCTTCATTTCATAGACATTGACTTGATTCAATTAGTAGGCTACTAATCACTTCACTTCATCTGAATTCTTCTCATTTTCCTCAACATCATATGTCTAATATTTGATATTGAAGGTCATGTTGAATGAACCTTGTTAGCTGGACAAGTGGTAAAAACCTCTTTTATATTCTTTCATGAGATATCTCACCTTTTGAGAATGACTTGGACCTACTCATTTTCCCTTGAATTTCTAGCAAATTAACAATCCCAATTTATCTCAAATTTCTGATCATTATTCATTATTCAATGGTTTCTGTCTTATCAACCCAGACAAATTGATTTAAAGAAAGAGAAATTTTAACAAATATAATTTGAAAACTTCTTGTGAATAAAGAAAGAATTCTATTGATAAGAATTTAAAGTGAAAATTTATACTGAGCACTGTGGAATAGTCTATCATCTTTTCATTATAATAAGACATTTGATGAATTGATAAAAGTTTATATATGACAAGAGTAAAAATTAAAATTGATTGCCAATGACCATGACATGCAACTTGTTGATCCATCAAATAATATTTTTATACATTTTGATCTCTGAAACAAAACTTACAAGAGCTCCAATTTCTTTTTCTCTTCTTCTTTTTTCTGACGTTTTATCATTTCTGTAGATCTTGATTCACGATGAACATATTTTCTCTTCCCAGTACAAGCAAATGTCCAATGACCTTTTTGTAGACATTTCTGACAACGGATATTTTCAGCACTTGAGTCACTGAAATGAGAGAAATATCTGTGCTAAAAGAAAAATAGAAGTCTCAAGAGAATGGCCTAAAAAGCAATAAAGCTGCAAGTAGCTGGTTATTATTCATATATTCCCAACAATTTCAATTCTAATATAATTTTACAGGAAATATGCAATTTAGACTCATTTTACTTGCCAAGTCAAGAACAACAATCTAATAACTAAATAAACAAGAGATCTCTTCACATAGTTAGCGATTTTAATACACTTTACAGAGAATTCTGATATGCCTTTAAGCTCTAGAAATATTTTTCACAACTTAATTCTAAACTATTTGGTCCCTGTTTTTTTAAAACATACTTTATATATCAAATAAGGACTTTGCAATTAGTGACAAACACTAAGTTTTAGTGGAATTGCAAAAAATTGGAAATTAAAAATTAGAAAAATGAAGTGTACCTGATATACATAAATTTTTTTAGAAAAACTTTACAACCATTTAACATCTTTTGATATAATATTTTAGACGTAAATCACAACCATAGTTTATGCTGACTTACACAAGAATAATGATTTCTAAAAGACTAATGCCTGATTACTGAACCAACATAAAAATCGTTTACATTTTCCCTGAAATATCCACATCTTCTCGAGTAATTATTGATGAGTATAAGGAGAAAATAAGCTGATCTTTCTGTTTGACACACACTCCAGTTATTTTCACATTAATTCTAATTTGTGGATAACTGGTGGTAAATATATTCTTTATATTGATCATTCAATAACAAACATAGAAACTTTACAGGACCCAGAGGAACAACATTTCAAAGACTTCTAAATTACTATAATTTTATGATGTTTATCAGATTATATTCAAGTCTTGTTTGAGGAACAACACCTAATATTTTAAAGGATTAAGTTTGCAAATACATTTAATAAGAAATATTCCACGATGACATCTCTTTAGATTGAAAAATTTGATTAGCATTATTTTCATTTTAGGATAATCAATTAAAAGTTTGATTTGCATTGCATAACAATCCATTAGTAAATGAAAACTATCTGGGAAGGGATCTAAAATGAAATTGTATCCTTTGGGATAATTGATGTTTTTCCTCAAACATGATACAAATATCAATTTGAAAATGAAAAGGATACAATATATTTCTGATCATCTTCATTAAACTGTTTTAAACTATCTTGAAAATTACATGTCACTCAGGCTCAAATCAAGTTGACAAAGAAGTCAAAATGGCTCCATCTCAATTACATGTCTTATTAAACAGTCTAGATTTTTCAAAAGACATTTTAACTATTAGTTATAAATAATAGATCATTATTCCGATGACTGACAACTCTATGAAAAATATCTTCTCTCAGACTAGGGCAAGAAACTACTCAGACTGACAGTAGAAAACTCAAGTCTTGTTATCTATTCATCTTCCAATATTCACAGCTTTAAACAAATCAAAGAGTTAATTCAGATTCTGGTCAATATAAGGTAATTTTACTGACATTTCCAAATATCAGCAGCAGACAATCTCCACGCTGATTACAGTCCAGTCTGATTAATACTGAAGAATGAAATTGGAGGAGAATAGTTAAATTGGGACAAGGAGTGTATCTGATTTGTCTAGATTGTAATTTGGTGTAAGCTTATATAATGGGATGACAAAACAATGTGAGTTACATAGCCTCATTCCTCCTTGGTTTGATAGAAACATTAATCTTCTTGTCTGGATATCGTTTTAAAGAGATTGTAAAGAATTTTTTTTATACCGGTATGTATCAAAGACACGGGTAGCATCCATTTGCACCTTTCCAATCAACAGTCAAGACATCTTCTATTATACTCAACTTTTTATACGTCACTATCAGAAAATCTTATTATATCATATTTATACGTGACATCATAAAACGTTTGGTTTTAGTTGCTTTGCAGAAACTACAGACATCTGAATTAAAATTGTAATGGTGGAAATCGATGCCATCAGTGTTCCCGAAAGACATAAAAAACCTCTTTACAATCTCTTTAACTCTTCTAATTCTAACCTAAATAATACATAGAAGAGTAGATATTAAAACTGACAGATTAAAACCTTGTTGATCCTATTCTTGGTTTGAAAATCTGCTCAATTAACGAAATAGATACAAGTTATAACACAGGCTGTATTTATATAAATATGTCATGTCTAAATTGCTGTATTCTCAGTTGTGGCAGTTGATGTCACATGATTGAAATATTTAAAAGTATTATCTCAGCCAATGTCAGAATAATCACCTCTGATAGTCAGGAAACATTTAGTTTAATTGTTAACCTGATTTCAATTTGTTTACTTAATTGAGAAACTGAGGGTTGAAGAAAGAAGACCTTGATGTCTTTTCATATGAAAAATAACATCAAAATAGCATGTACAGTTGACAAATTCAGACAACCGGATGAAATATGCTGGTTTCAATGGCTAGAAATAAGATTTGTTTCCATGGCCATGAATCTAGGTTGTTTGACATTCTTTGTACAGTTTTTATCAGTTTTTTCAATCTGATATCAAAGTAAAGAGTAATATAGCTTTATATCAATATAGAATATCTCAGTTGGTTTCGTGTATGAAAACAATAACTGCAGGTTCAATAAACTTAATTTCATCAAAAAAATCAAACCTTGCCATTCTACATTGAATAAATAAGTTTCAATTGATTTTCTTCTAAAACATCATTCTGCAATTTAGGTTTTATTCCAGTTCCTTTCATCAGTGGCTTACATCTTGGAAGATTGCCAGCTGTATTGTTTACATGATGCAATTAGTATGCCTAATTTTACAGTCTGGTTACAGTATACAATTATATACAAATATTAGCACAGATTTAACTCTACTGTAATTGTGTAGGAAATTATCATCCACAAAGATGTTACCAAATACTTCAGGGTTACCACTTTGTAAAAAGCGATTACTAGTCAACTTACGCTGGGTTGAATACATAATTCTTCACCAATAAATTGGTAAAACTTGAATATTCCTATAGAACTACATTTATTTCTACTTAACAGAGAGTAGGGAAAAAACTGTTTATTTATTACATAAAAGGATTAAAATTTATTCTGTGCATACCAAAGTCAATTTAAATCTGTTGAAAATTGTAGATCTGCAGACAGTAGTGTTTACAAATTACAGAGCATGTAGAATGTAGAAGTACAAATTCTTCTTCAAATTATCACTGTAACAATAAAGCTTCATCAATTGTAAACTTATCCATGGAAAGGTATAATTTAATAAAATTGTATTAGATATAAAAAACAGAGTAAAAATTTCACAAAAATCAAAATAATGGTTTAGATTTTCTTAAATTCTAATGAAGAAAACCACAACAGTTCTTGATCATAGATCAAAATGTCTTTGAAAACAGATAGTCTCTTCAGTCTTCTCATTTCTAACTTGTCACATCAATCAGGGCTGTGATAAAGAACCTAGTGAAAGATACAGACATTACCATCTCTAGGGGAAAATTACTGTCTTAACAGGGAATCTTAGCTAACATAGAGAACCATGTTCCATCCACAAGCATTGAATATACATTTTTTAGCAATTTATAACTTAACATTTACTAAGCTATAAGCTTAAATCTTGTTCTTAGGAGAATTATCAGTAAAACTATCAGTTTAAGGAGAGATTTTTTCTTGTCTTGAAGAGAAAGAAACCAGAAACTTAAGACACCTACCAGACAGCACATTCAACTTATATTGATATATGCTTCTTTGAGCTTTTTAAGACATTAATTCATAAATTCAAATTCAGAACAAATGTTAAATCTCAATGAAAGTCATAGTATAAATCCAGTAAAGCAAGAAACTACAAATGCTGCAACATAATTCAAACAATAGAAAACCTCAACGCACCTGAAATCAGAGAATTTATTTCCACTTACCGTATGTTATACAACTGTTTCAATAGTTTCTTTAAAAACAGCAAACACTGAGTTTTAAAAACTTAAAGGAAAGAAACACAGCAGAACATTTCAGGATTTTTAACTGTTTTAATAGTTTCCTTATCAACAGTAGACATTAAGTTTTAAAGAATGAAAGAAAAGAAACACAGCAGAATATTTCAGGATTTTTAACTGTTTTAATAGTTTCCTTATCAACAGTAGACACTAAGTTTTAAAGAATGAAAGAAAAGAAACACAGCAGAATATTTCAGGATTTTTAACTGTTTTAATAGTTTCCTTATCAACAGTAGACACTAAGTTATAAAGAATGAAAGAAAAGAAACACAGCAGAATATTTCAGGATTTTTAACTGTTTTAATAGTTTCCTTATCAACAGTAGACATTAAGTTTTAAAGAATGAAAGAAAAGAAACACAGCAGAATATTTCAGGATTTTTAACTGTTTTAATAGTTTCCTTATCAACAGTAGACACTAAGTTTTAAAGAATGAAAGAAAAGAAACACAGCAGAATATTTCAGGATTTTTAACTGTTTTAATAGTTTCCTTATCAACAGTAGACACTAAGTTTTAAAGAATGAAAGAAAAGAAACACAGCAGAATATTTCAGGATTTTTAACTGTTTTAATAGTTTCCTTATCAACAGTAGACACTAAGTTTTAAAGAATGAAAGGAAAGAAACACAGCAGAATATTTCAGTTTTTTTACTGTTTCAATAGTTTCCCTATAAACAGCAGACACTGAGTTTTCTAGAATGAACGAAGCAGAATATTTCAGGTCTTACTTCACTACTGATGACAAGAAGATAGTAATAAATTTCTTCGTACCGTCTGCTACACCTCCTAAAAACTCTCATCTCACACAGAAACCAATCATCATCTTACACACAACTAATGGGATATGGCTGAATTTCCAACACTTTATTACCATTAGCACAAAACTAAATTTTTTTATTATCGTCACCATGACAACCTCTAAATACATTTAAAACATGCATTAAACTAGCCCAAACTCTGTTTATTATTTTTTCAGTTTTTTTATGGAAGAATAATAAAGTTTTAAAGGCCTACAGGAAGTTACGTTCAGATGGAACTGAAAACTGTTCTTTTGGTTCATTTCATCTGCTAGCTCTATAAGGACCTATTCATACATTTCTGTTAAAGGAATTTAAAAGATTTTTAATTTTTTAATGTGTATCAAGAACACATTGCATCAATATGCACAATTTCAATTTTCAGTCAGATCTCTGTGGTACTTGCAAATCCATTAAAACTAAAAGTTATAAATCTTATAATTGATAACACCTTTGCCTTTATTATACCAGTAAGCTTACTCATTATTTAAATTCTTCATTCCCTACATGCCATTTCATACAAAAATCTTTACAAAATAATTTAATATGAAAAATATTAAAGATAGCTTGCCAGGCAAGGTAACATACGCCCACTGGCAGCTGTCAGAAATGATAAAAAGGCTTTAGTGACTAAAAGTACAAATTTTCTCATATTAAAGAAATATTAATAGTTTGAATTCATTGATATATATATTTACTGCCAGTTATTTATGCTGAGAAATACCACCAAATTTTTAAAAATCAATATCAATAACCCAAATACATCAAAATAACACATCAATATACATAATCACACCATGTTTCATTAAAATCAATTGAAAACTGTAATCTCTTATGTGTTCACAAATAAATTTGAAGCATTTTTCCTAAGTCAAGGGCAATAACTCAAAGACCGTTCATTGAAATATGAAATTCGAACTTGTCCAAGATCTCATCAATATAAATGATCACACCAAATTTCATTAAAATCAGTTGAAAACTGTATTCTCTATTGTGTTCACAAACAAATTTTGATGCGTTTTTATTAAGTCAAGGGCAATAACTCAAAAACCGTTCATCGAAAGATCGTCAAATTGGAAATTGACCAAGATCTCATCAATATAAATGATCACACCATTTATTAAAATCAGTTGAAAACTGCAGTCTCTATTGTGTTCACAAGAAATGTTGACGGACCAACGGACAGGGGCTACGGCAATATACGTCCACATTTCCATGTGGGCGTATAAAAACAGCCGGTTCTATAGAAAATATTAGATAGAAATATTAAAGTAATCATAAAATTCATATTCATCTTATACATTTTCTACTGTCATTATTGCTCACTATTAAATTGTCAAATATCTGATTTCAAAAGGTTATTGATGAAATCTTTATGCTGAAAATTATGTTAACAATTTTAATTTCACAAAATATCTTATAGGAATTGTCGAAAGTGCAGAAACATCATAGTTACAACAGAATTGATTACAAAATTTACCGTACTCTGCTAAATATTTGCTAAAAGTATGCACAAACTATGCCAATAATCATTGTTATCTGAAAGAATGATCTCAATAAATGTTTAAAAGCTTCAAAACAAAGAAAACTCTGAAAAGAAATCAAATTTGTCAAGATAAAATAAATAAACTTGTAATAAAGCTTACCTGTAAGAAATACGTGTTTTAAAACACTGTTAGAAAATAAGTAGCAAGAAATCTCAATTGAGTATTGATTACCGATATCTAAAGTGGTATACACCGATATTTGAAAAGAATCAAATCCACCTGATAGCTTTATCAAAGACAACAAAATGACAGTTCCAATAAAAACACGCGTAAGAAGACCTCTAAAATCCCTCACGCTTGTCACATTACATCACACATTTAAGACAATTTCCGCATCATAAAAAGTCTCTTTATTAGAAATCAATTGAGATTGTTGGGCAGATGAAGCCATTAAATTCTCTCTCACTAAGATTATGTCACGAATTTAATCAATGGGAATTGAGGAGTTCTACTAGCTCAAGGGGCAATCTGACATTTTTTCTTGAACAATACACAGTTCATGTTTAATTAAACTTAGATACCATACAGTTACACTAGCACTGGAAGCTAAATGAGTTTTCTTGGAATATTGACAGTTTCTAAATCTGATTTTACGAGTGCCTCTAGTCTAAGCCTTAAGTAGTTACATTTAAATCTTAAAATTATCCAATTATCATTTTCAAGTAATTTCCTGTTAAATTATCTGCTATGGCCTGAGAAGGGAGAATATCTGCGAATAATACAGTTCAAATGTGTCATACATTGATAAATGCTGTTGGGGACAAAAATGGTACAATTGAATTTCAATTCTATAACTATCAAGAGCAGTTTTGCAGAGATAAATGTTAAAACCTGAGGGAAAAGCCATTTTTTCTTTCCATTTAAAAACTGAACTCAGATTTGACAATTCAAACCTTCATATTTATTTCATTTTAAGGTAGTTATATTTGTATGAAATAAATCAGCTGACAAAGTGAGCATCAGAATATCCTTTGATATTTGATGATAACAAAGAGACTTTGTCATAGCATAACAACAATGGCTAAACTTTGATTTATCAACTTCTTTTTCAAAAAGAGACTGATTTTAAATATTTTCTAGAACATCACATTTTCAATTCTAACACTTTTAACTTAAACTTTTACAGTGCTTTAAGACAATAATATAAATATTTCAAAATGCAGTAAGTAACCCTTGAGTGCAAACTCCCAATTTTGACAAGGCAGAGCGAAAGTAATACCACAAAACAGGATTCTACTCTTAATGTTAACAGTTAAACAAGTTAGAGAACAGAATTTCCACTTAGAAATTCAATTATCAGGGTAAAAACTCAGCAGGTAATCAAATCTGTGTTCACTGAACTGATGTGTAGTTTAACCACGAAAAAAATCTCTTCAAAATCTACTTTGTTTCACCAGGACTCCTTTAACTTAATGAAAGTAGATCAAACAGTTAAACCTTGAATATATTCTGGAAAGTTAAGTTTAATTTTCCAACAAAAACTAATACAATAACTTGATAAACAGGCGTTATTGGAACTGCTCCATTCAATAAAAGATCAAATATATTTTATACCTCTATAGATATGATCATAATCACAATGTTGGTGGTGGAGGGTGGTTTTAATCGAAGTTATGTCATGAGATCAAGGTACAGCTGAACTCAAAAGAAAAGAAAACTTTGTCATATCTTAAAAGTGAATCCACAGAAAGAATGAAAGAAACAAAAACAAACAACTATATTTTTCAAGGATAACAACTTAGGTTCACAGTTAAGGATCCTTTCTACCTACTGATCCTTAGCCAAACCTCTTGGCATTGATCTTTCTCAGATTATCCACACCCATTTACAATACGTTGACTGGAATTATGAGTGAAGATGACTTATTCAAGGTCATCGGCTTCACAAATCGATCCAGATCGGAACCCAAAACCAAGCAAATGACGTCATGTAAAGAGCTAATAATGCTCTAACTGACTGTGCTATAGAAACTCACAGAAATCAACTATCGTCAACCATTTACTGAAATTCGGGTTACAGAACTAAAGTTTGCTGTTTTCAATATAAAAAATAACATGAAAATATGGAGATATTCCAAAAATCAAGTAAGTCAGAATAATAATGGGTTATCTTGAGACAAACTTTACACAAAAATTCATCAAAATTTGATACACACTTCAAACATATACATTATTTTCATGTGGTAAGACTGGTAAAAGAAAACTACAATATCTCTGATTTCAAAATACAGATCTATTTAAGTGTTAACTATAAAGCATTGAGCCAAGAGAACATTGATAGAAATAAATTGAATCAAAGGAGATGTAAATGATTGCTAATGTTCCCAGTAATCTGTTACTCACTTGACATTAACTCACTTCAAATAGAGAGAAATTACTCCACTAATCTCTACTGGCAATTCTCTAGCCTGCCTTCTGAATACAAATTGTAAGATTAGACGCACACAATTTGAATAATCATTATGATCAGTCCTTCAATAAAGAATAAATGATGTCAAAATGAGACTGAATTATGAATAAATGGTGTTTCTGACAATATTCCTTCTAGTAAGTCACGTAAAGAGATCCAGCATCTAATTTACTTCACTTCATATTGAAATGATTCAATTTTGTGCACCTCTTATAGTACAGTTTCTTCATTCATGATAAAAAACAGTGGAGTTCAATTTCAACTCTTTCAGCTCTTTTCAGAAGCAAAATTTCACCTTTTTTTGTCACTACCAGGGATATTAAAATTCTTAAACATAGTTATTGATATAAAATATATAACATTAACATGAGAAAATTTTAAAAACAATCTTAAACTGATTTTCAAGTTTGAAGAAAATAAACAAATAAACATAGTATTAACTAAGATGAACAACATGGTATTAAGGAGAAATGCCAAGAAATGATATCAACTTCAGATATATTTAAAAGTCACCAAAGTATATCTCTTCATAAGAAACTATTACTGGCACCATGTAGGCTTATCGTGACCTTTTTCCTCAGTTGGAAGAATTTCCAAACCCCCTATCTATATGGATTCACAATCACGTAGTCTTATTCTTTGCCAGTGGCAGCAGTTTTCATATTTTGATTAACTGACTTCGTCCCCATTAAATGAATTAGTAATATGTCACTACAACTTTTATATTGTAAATATAAATTCAGCAGAAACACTTCCCTGTAACAATTTTACTGAAACCTTTCATATTTATGCTTATTACTTTAAATTTCAAAGTGATGGCATAATGTGTACTCATGCTTGTATGTCATGTATACATGTATATTAACACAAAGATATTCTATGACTATCAATTTACTGTTTTGAAGCTGATATTCCAATTCCTATAAAATTGATTTTCTGAGGAAAATGTAAAGGCAAAGCGTTTCTATTCAATACATTGATTGATTTGTTAAGGACCTGTATTGTTGTTATTAATCGATGTTGTGGTGCTGATTTCTATTCTGTAAGCTTACACAACATAATTATCATTAACGACATTATAAATTGGTTAAGTATTTTAATATTCACATGAAGAAATAAAAACTTATGATGATTTACTACTCTCTGACTACAATGATTTCTGAATTGAATTTTGCCAATCATTTCCGTATGAATTGAGATATAAATTACAAAATACTACCAGTACTGACAGTCTTACATGGTCTTTAGGTTGATGAAAATGTCAACCACTGGAAAAGTTATTATTTGTTATTCTAACATGATTTTACAGAGGAGTATTTTCAGTCCAAAAAGTATGTCATTTTCAAGTGAATTTTCTGGAAGGGAAGTGTTAAGATGTAAAATTAGTGAAACTTATATTTCTATGGATCTAAGACAAATTGCATACAGTTGAAAATTTTATTTTGAATATTTATGAAATTTGAGAAAATATTTAATTCCGATCTCAATGTAGTCAGACAGTAGGCGTCTAGAACAAAACATCGAACTAAATATTTCCAGCCTCTCATAGCTATTTTGAGAGAAATTTTGGAGCTGGTGAAGAGCTAGTTTTGTGGGAATTTGCTTGGGTTTAACACCTATAAAGATATATCGAATCTGCCAAACCCCATTACATTCAATAAGAAAAATGAGTTTATTTTTATAGTTCAGTCATACCATCAATCATCATTTCTTACAACATTTACGTGGCATCTATGATTCCATTAAAGTTTTACTAACGAAAGTAACACCTTGACGTCCATCTAAGACTACGACTACGTGCACAACTGAAAGTTCAAGGGTCACACAATACTAACAAAACAAAAGCACCGTTGATGCCCAACACTAATTACAGTCATCGCATTTATAATTTAATAACAGCCTCAGTCAGGCCTGTGTTTTAAGAAAAAAACCTTCAGGCTCAGGGCTGTGGAAATCTCCAATAAACAGGGCTTAGACTTTCTGACACTACTCAAGCCGACAACTGTCAAATTAGCTATCAGAATCTGATGTTAAGGATTGCCTATTAATCCATGAAACGTTTCTTATTAAAGCTTTTTGTTTGGCGGTGTAGGTTGGCAAGTACAGACACCATTTCCTTAATCTAACCCAAGATTAATACATTCTCCCTCAGATTCGAACTCCTACTTAAAGGGGGGTATAAAATGGTTTAATCTCAATTTATCGATTTCAAATACGCAAAGCGTGTAAATACTTACGATTTACTAAAGAAAGCATTTTTCAATTCAGTCGACGCCATTTCCGATTTCTTCTATGTACTGTTAAAGGGAGGCAATTCGTAATAATTTAAAATCATTCAGACCGCTATTAATTCCTTTTCAGAACACCTCATCAAGCACAAGTCAATTTGAAGCAGATTTTTACCATCAAGGGCTATAACCTTGCAAAACTGAAGAAAATAGAGCTTATTCGTTATCTTATCAATACCCATTTTTGTTTTATTGTTATTCACTGAATATAGTAATGTTTAAACGTTGGAACAACATTACACTCCTTTGCTTTTCTATATCGAATTTTCAATAAATGATAATTCCTTTAGAATATGTATATTTTTGCTATGTATAATATCAGCTATATCATATAAATATTAACAAATGCATTTCATTCACTGTAGTGTCAGAAACATCCAAAGGATATCAATTGTAGTTGTTCATCTTCTATAATACACATAGTTTCATGCATACACAGTGTTTCATTTATCCATAATATACTTTAACTTTCCATATCTACTTCCAAATAGATTTACCTAATAATATCAAAATATGAAAAAGAGATTGCTCAATTCAAATTAAGCTTTAAGTCTTTTAGTGATGTAAACAAGCATGGAGTCTCAATTCAGCTTCACCAAGCGGATTTGAGTTTATGAACACCAACAATCAAATTTAATGGAAAAAGCCATTTTTTAACAATATTTAATTTTTGTCAGACCTCTAATCCGAATGTTATTTATATATTATTATACAGGTATATAGAAAAATACACAGTTTAAGCCTCCAAGACCGTGTATCATCCTAAAAATTAGTTTTTTATCCTTATCCCATTGACCACCATTACACTTTCATTTCAACTTGAATCTTCTTTAAGCCGATCCTCTATTTCCATTAATCTTCCATTTAAAGACACTGACACAGCCTGCAACTTTAATTACAAGATAAAATTATTCAACCTGACAAAACTAAAAAATTCTACCCAACTTTCTGTGCAATATTACAAAGAAAAAAAAAACCTTGAATATTTGACCCTAAAAGGAGATACAAAATATAGCACAGAATCAATACATTAAGCAACTAAGCAAATTTTACCTTTGATTGCCAACTTTCATCATTGGTTTAAATAATAGATTTTATAGAGTCTTCAAGGGCTCACATAAATAATAACTGGGTGAAAGTCTGTTAATAGGATAATGTAGCTATTCTTCTTAGATGATCCTCATCATACACTGTATGGGGTTGATAATATTCCTAAGCTCTATCAGTTGTAATCAAGTGCAATGTAAGACTTTTGTATATCAGAATTTAGAATGTAACACTCATTTCTTTATCACTTACTTTGATAATTTGTTGTTGAAGATAATGTACTGAAGGTATGGCTGCTGAACTTAGTGATGCCTTTTGTTCTTCACTACCAATCTGATAGCTGAAATAAATACCATTCAACAGATAAAAATACAGAAACAAAAGCAATATTAGTCCTATGACCAAGTGAATAATCAGAACAAAATCTGTTTAAAAATATCAAACTTTATTTCATACTCTGATATATTTAGTTATGCTAGCTGTCAGTAACATAGTCCTCCTAAAATAGGTATGACTATAAATTTTACCTACCAACTAAGCCTATCAACATATAAACTAAATTTATCTCTTAATTCATCTAAATGAATTGTCGTTGTTCTGTAGATTCTTCCTAAATCAGAATTACATGTTTCACATGCTAAGGGGTTATAAGAGCTGGAAAAAAAAATTATCAATATATTTCTTCTTTATATCAAATCATGAACATGAAATGGTTGTTATTTAGAGTTTCACACTTCCTTCACATCTTAACACCTGATACTCTGCTGCAATTGAAGCATTACATCCAAATAGTTCACAAAGTCAAAAATGCTATTTTGCCAAAAAATAAATTCCAGTCTCTATTTTCCTTTCATTAATTTATGTTTATACAACAAACTTTTAAAACACTACAATTTTATGATTTATCTATCTACTTCCTAAATGGCAACATATGAGAGAATAAAATCTGTTCTCATTCTACCTTCCAAGATCTGTTGTATGTGAAGAGGAAACAAGTTTATCTCGTATTCGAACTTTCTTTGTCACTCCTAAAAGAAAAAAATCAAATAATCCATATAAGTAGGCTAAAAAAAAACTTTTTAATAATTAGAACTTAAAAATCAGATTCCTGATTCCCTGATTAAGCCACACTTCAACCAACATTCCACAAGTTATTAGCACAGTTAATTTCTGTTTCTTTATATTAATTTTTTCAAGTTTTCTTAGGTAGGGCCTGACCCTGAGGTAGCCTGGTAGGTGCCTCTATACTAAATTATAAAATAAAACTTTCATTAATTGATCAAACAATAAGATCTGAAGTGTACACCACCCCACCCTATCACTTTCAACTTTCATGGTTTGTGATACAGATTTGGAATAAGAAGGGGAGGGGTGGGGCCTGGCTGGGGGACACTCACTGTCAAGCGTCACCATTTTTAGAGTGCTGTTTGATGAGACAGAAGCAAATGAATCTCCAATGATAGTGCGACAGTTTTCACACTGAAAAACTATCGGAAGGTCATGAAACGAATCTTTTTTTTCTCTTAATGGAGGTGAAGAATCCATTTGTTAACATAAAAACTTTTTAGAAAGTTGTTTTGGCCGCCATGAAAAGAGTCGTCGATTGTCATTTCGTAGTATTGATCTGTCTATGGATTTCATTTCATTTGTGAAAGAAAAAATATTATGGATACAAAGATTTTTTTGATTCATTAGTAGCGCTCCATAAGTGGTTAAAGCTTGAAAAATACAATTACTACGAAACTCTAAAGAAGTCTGATATTAACCACGTGTCAGTCACGTGACATCTTGATGATCAATGTAAACATCTACACATGTAGTTCTCTTTAATTAATTAATTAATTTATAGGCCTATGTAACCATATTCATGAGTCAACCCCTTTTCTTCCTGTTCGTCTTTAGAATGACACTTTTTAACCAATGACTGTACATTCTATTAAGCTATAAGAAGGCTGTGTCTAAGAATTCTATGGTGACATGATTCATGATTAATCAATTCCATTCCCCCTTGCTGAGTTATGACTAGACTACCGTTATGTATATCTCAACTTGTGTCTTGAATATCGACTATATTATCCTATACAGAAATATTTATTTCGTCTGAAATTAGTCAAATGAGACTAGTAGCAAAACCCCACCTCACTTTAGTGGCCCTCACTTGGCCCCTAAACTAATTCACAGAAACTCCATAGATGAAGGCTTATTTCATTTCTACCTGGATAAATTTTGATAATATGGATATATTGATAGATGAACAAATGAATTTTAAATCAATCGACATTGACTAGCATTTTTTCTTTTAATCAGTTTAGTGCCTCTTTGGATAATATACAACAAATAATTACTGATATTCACAAGACATTGTAAAGAATGGAGAAAGAGGAAGAGATAGATATTAAAGAAATGTTAGAACTACAACTGGCAGAAGTAGAAATGTTAAAGAGTATGTTTCCACAGAAAGGAGAGTTTGTACTAGATGATGAATATGCTGTCAGAGAGATTCAGGCCTATGTTGATGGAGATATACTACTAGATAGCCCTGAGAGTAGGATTGGATTTACAGTTCATATAACAACAGAGGTACAACTTATTATCTTCTACCCCAAAAACTCTGTGCCAGTGTCTACTGTTGTAACCTTTCATCCAACCTAAGTCCTAGTAATGGTAGCATGTAAATGGTCATCCTACAAATGGCAGTTAAAAATCGAAGAAGAAAAAAAAGACTTTCTCACATTTTGTACAATTTTTCACAGATATATTAAGATATTAAAGTTAATAGAATTGTGAAGAAGAAGTGTTGATTACAAAATGTGGAGAATAAAACTGAAATTACCTCAGTAATCCAGCTCCAACCCTAGCATTTTTTAAAAGAACTGTCTTCAATTCAGACAAAATTTTCTCTGCAACTGAATTGGTTCAGTTTGCAAAGTTTTGTTGTGTTGGGATGAATGCCACGTTGTTATCATAATGTATTTTTGTTTTTGTAGAAGTACCCTGTAGAATTAGTAGTTCATCTACCTCATGAATACCCAGCTGTTTATCCAGAAACCTTTCTCCGTACTCAAAACACAACGCGAGAGAGCAGTCGTCGGTTAAATGATGATCTGAGTGAATGTATGCAGAGTTTGGAAAAAGGAGAAATTTGTGTGGGAACGTTAATACAATGGGTTCAAGAAAATGTTGAGAATTATTTTACGGAGGTACAGATTGAAAAAACTGAAAAATCATCTGATAAAATAGACACAACCTTTTCTCGATTGTGGATTTACAGTCATCATATCTATAGCAAATTTAAACGCCGTGATATATTAGATTGGGCCCAGGAGTTAAAACTAACAGGCTTTTCAATGCCAGGGAAACCAGGAGTAATGTGTGTTGAAGGATACAGCAGTATTGTTGAGGAATTTTGGTATCGCATTCGTAGAATGAATTGGAAAAAAATTGCTGTAAAAGAAAAGGAAGATTTTGAAATAGATCCTAATGAAGGAATTGATAAATATAAAAAATTCTCAGATTTTCAAGAGTTATCATTTGATGTGCAAGCTGGTAAAGCAAGAGAATATCACATGAATTTAGGAAAATTTTTTGATTATTTAGTAAAACATGATTCTAAACATATTTTTCCTCTCTATTTTGGAGTTGAAGGAAAATCTGCACCGGAATAGTGATGGTCACTGGCACTTGGTATTTGTTTCAAAAACTATTTCATGTAGACTTATATTTATATTATAATTATTTATAATTAATCAATACAGTTACTGGCATATGAAAAGAAAGAAATTCTACACTTTAAAATCTTCTCTTCCTTCTAGGTTGATTTGATGTTCTTAGTTTATAGTTTGAGGGATGTTACAATTACCAAGTGCCAGTGAACACAATATGTAAATTTGAAATATTTTATTAATTTTTCAGAAATTGTTATTAGCCATATTACTTTGATTTAATTTATTGATTTTTTTAAAATGTATTTTCTGTCTGATAATGTGATATTATTGCATGAATTTTTGGATATTATTTAGAAAGAATAAAATGAATGATTATATTTGTTCTGATTAGCAACTAGTAGGAACCAGAATTGACTTTTTTCTTATTTATAACAAAGTGACAGAAGGTATCATGAGTTGCAATACAACTATGCAAATTAACTGGTTGGACCCTGGTTGCATATAACTAGGGGAAATTTTGTTTTTGAGACTTGTATGATCAAGAGCAACATTATATGGAAAGTCAATGCCGATCTATCTCTATATTTGATATATTTTGCATGATTCAAATGAGGATTTTGTCATCAAATCCTATGTAGCAAAATGCCTGTACTAGTTTGAAATGTGCATTTATTTATTTGTTCATTAATTGAAAATCTATACTTAGCATCGAAAATCCTATACAAAAGTGACAGTCCAAGAGTTTGGGAAATCATATGTTAAGGATTACTTAGTGTAAGTGTATGTTGTGGGATTATCGATACAGATAAAAATAGAAGCGAATTGTGTCCAGACTGTGTCCAGAACCATATCTCCTGTGTTCGATTCTTCTATTTTCAAAGATACCAATAATCCTGCAACATACACCACACCTTGTCTATAAACAGCTTCTTATAGATTGTTACAAAATTTGGTTACATTGGTGCGACATGTTGAATTAGATGAATAACAACAGTTCCTAACAGTGGAAATATGTGTATGAAATTGCTAATCTTATAAGAGACCAAGCCTTTGACTACATTTCTTAATTAGGTAATAGATTTATATAGATTAAAGTATTAAGATCTAAGAAATATTCTGATTGGATTTATTATTACTGATATTAGGGAATTAAGATTAACTACATGGTAACCCTAAACATAATCTACATGTCAGGATTAGTATTCTACTGGCTTTCACTGGGTCCTCACCTCATGTCTTACTTGGCTTTATTTCGGAAAGGAAAATAACAAGAATAATATCAAAACCATGACAGAGATCTAGGCAGTGCTCATATATCACACTCCAAAATGAGGATATTATTTGTTATTTTGTCTGTGTTTTTCATTTCTAAATCTTGTGAAGGTATGTAATAATAGTTATCTATATATTTAACTATATGATTTGCTTCTTCATTTGTAAGCCTTTCTATTGATTTTTAATGCATATAGCCATTTTTAGTGGCCAAAATTCTGCGAATTTGAGCTATTACCATTGCCTTTAGCAGAAATGATTTAACAGTGGTTGACATAAAATGGAAAAGGAATTGCTTGTGTAATTATAACTATTGTTGTTGCAAAAAAAAAACTGTCATTCATCAATGGTTCTCTCTGAATTGACAAAAGATCATCTTAATTTACACATGTTTAGGATACTTATAATCTATCGCCAAGTTCATACAAATTTATATTCATATGCCTTCTTAATTTTAGGTCAGTGTGTGCTACCGAATAATTTAACTGGAACATTTATTAGTAGTAGTAAAGGAGTACTAGAATTTACTAGTAATTCTATATCAGGCTATACTGTTAGTAATTTTGGTGCCTTTGACTTTAACTGTACTGTATCATTTGCTTCTAAACTTATTCTTAGGTAAGTTTTTTTATGTTGAAAAGTTTTATATACCCTCAGTTAAAATGGACATAAATTGCTGATTATGTGTTGGTAATGACTGCTGGTTGTCATAAGTGTTTGATAGGGAGAATCTATGGGTTAAATTTCTACTTTTATTTAGTACTTTTATTTTTGATGGCAACATCTAGGTGCAATTTCTATTTTTGAAAATTTGGAAAAAATAATTTGAAAATGAAAGACGTCAAGTTTCCTCTGCATGGTATTAGGGTGTATTGAGACAAATCTCGATGAAAGCACTGACAACAGAGCAATAGATAACCTTATGAATATTAAAATTTATTGTATCAAGTAGGCTATATGTTTAATTTATTTCAGATCCAACACATTCTCGTATCTAGGATTGATATGGGAAGCGTATTTATGTTTAGATATCACCACTGTATCACAAGATTTGTTTGTCTATAATCTTAATTCAGGTAAGGGAAAAATTTGATAATGTTCTCTGTTTCAAATTTAATTGACCTCAGCAATCAGTCTTCCATCTTTCTCTTATTTTTGAGAAAGTGATATGTAGTAGATTTTACTTGATTTCCATATGAAACAGGCATGAGAGTGGCGTTGTGCTGTTTTATATTTTTCCAAGGTTATCAATGATATTTCTATCTGTGTACTATTTATATTTTCATTCCTGAAACATGATATTTGATTATTAGATTTAACATATTCCTGATGTAAGATAGATTATGGTAATGTGGTGAACCAAATGAAATGAAAATGAACATAAAACTTCTACTGCTCATGAGCAAAGTTTCTGAATTAAAATGGAACATAGCTCCAATTATATCTTGGAGGATTGGTCTTTTGACAGATTATGAGATTGTTTGTGATTATTTAAGTTAACAGAGATATTAAAGGGATGTACAGATTGTGAATTGTTTTTTTACAGTATTGTTTTTATTTCTTCCAGTTGAAGAAGCTGATGCTCAGAATGAAAGAGTGAAAATTTTTGTACAGGGAACAAATCCTAATGTTTTAACTATTTGTGATAGAACATCAATACCAGCAGGTTCATATGAACTTCTTATTAGAAATGGTAATGGTTTCTTAGTATTTTATACAAAAATATATACATGATATTCATAGTGGTTTTGGTTCAATTTATTCGTTTCAAAACAGTGCCTGCAAATTGTTTGAATTTAGTTAGCATACATTTGAAATGTGAGCAACTTCAGTCTAGAAGCGTTAGAGTATTGTATGTTTTCTGTAATCACAATTTTCTGTATTTTATTGAACACATCTTACTTGTATTCAGCCCTATATTCATATTTTCATTTCAATAAAGTTGAATTGTTTTTCCTTCAGAAACTACAATAAACTACAAAAACGCTTTTGTTTTGTCAGATATATTCTAAGATATTTGGTTAACTTGAGGTAATGTTAATGATTTAAAATAATTTCAGGAACAGGAACAAGCTCTGAACAGACTTGTTCTAGTGATTTAGAAGGATATTGGTCATATAGTATAGATAATAATAATAATAATGATAACTGTAGTAATCAAACTACCAGTCTGGATGTTTGTTCTTCTACATCATCACTAGCTTTTAACTACACAGCTTGTCCTACACTTATGGCTTATTCAGGTTTGTAACAACTATTTCCAAAAAAACTAAGAACCACAAGCCTCTTAATGAGATTTGGCATTCAGGTCTTTGGTCAAGAACTGTTGAAGAATGAAAAGAATGGTTTGAAACCTTGTTTTTATTCCTTCGCCAACCAGCTGATAAATATCACACATAAATATTTTCTTGAAGTTTAGAGACCTTACAAAGAATTCTTTATTAATTTGGTCTTAACTATTAAAAACATAATGCTATTAAAGAAAACAAAGAAATATGCTTTTGAGATTAGAATATCTTTCAATTGAATCAAGTGGAATACAAAGTTTAAAAACCCAAGTTGTTCAGAAAACCATTTTTGATTCCACTTCTTTATTTGTTCATTGTATTGTAGCTAGTGGTGTTGTGAATTGTTTACAAGAGATATCTAGTGGTTCTGTTAAATATCTTACTTTGTTAAATACTGATCAATCTACAGATGAATCTACTACTTACAGAGTTACTTGTATGGTAAGTTATTTCAAGATATTTATCCCTTTAAACAAAAAGCACAAGCATATAAAATGTCATATGTCCAAGCTCTGAATGTTAAAATATATAAGGTCAGACTGTAGAATACTTGAAATATGAGGATGTCACATACTTAAGTTCATTGGAAAGTTGGTTTCTGATAGATACTTGAATATGTCAACTATCATTATAAAGTCGAAATAGGCTCATGTGATAAAACGTGATATCCTTTTAAAAGATATGGATGCTTCCGTCTCTCTTGTAACAAACAGTATATCTTGATAATGAATTATAACTGTGATATATTATATATTGTAGGTATATGAAGTAACTAACAATGGTATCAGTTTGACTCAATATCCACAAGCTTGTTTATCAAATCAAACATCAACATCAGTTACCTCCCCCGGTTTAGCTATAACTCTCTTTAACAGACGTAAGTCATTTTTTAAAATACTGTTCAAATATGTTTATATTATGATGCAAAATTCTTGAAAAATCCAGTCAAATTTGTCATTTTCATCAGCCCTATAGGATGCAGAAATGCAGGATGCAAGACTCCAAATCAGATGTATGTTTTTCATCTGTTTGTATGTTGGTTTGTTCCTTCCTTCATCCATCTATCTATCCAGCTTTACCAATTTTAAATGCATGTGTGTAACACAGTGTGTTATAAAAGTATATCTTTACATACCAAATTTGAAATTCAAATTATAACTTTGTCTAATTCAATATCTCTGTTCATTTTTCAGAATCCTGTCGTAAGTTGAATTACATTATTTACATTGTAAATTATTTAGATTCATTTAAACCATTGACTTTGTCATAAATTTAACTTTTACTGAAGAAACACTTCAAAAGAAGTGGAAAGAATTAAAGTAACTGAAGTAAACAGCATTAGCATTAGTGGTCTGTCTAAAATTGAGTTTCAAAGAAGTAGAATTTAGTGAGCATTAGTAGAGTGAGCATACAAACTTCATGGACTTGACTCAAATCTTACATCTAATAGGTTGATCTATGTTAAGTGAGCTAATGAATAAAGTATGTATATTTGATATTTCAGCTGTGTCAACAACACCTGAGCTTTTAGCCAGTGCTACAGCTAGCTGGGTCTATGCTGTAGTTGTTCTAATAGTCCTCTTAGTAGTAATATTTATTATAATAATTGGTATCAAGGCCTATAAAAAACACCAAGAGTCTAAAGATGAATCTCGTGGTATTAAGCCTGATACTGTGACTACTACTGTAAAAGTAGAAGGTGAAGATGTAAGAGATGGTACTAGTAATAGTGATATGCCTCCTGATATTTTAAACTATCTACAGAAAGAACACAGTATGCCTAGTAGTAAGTCATCTTCATTTAATAATTGGTATTATTACCAATATCCAGCTTTTATTGGACTCTATCTCATGACTTGGAATTTGATATAGATTAGATTTTTTTACATTAATTTTTAAGGTTGTCATTTTTTTTATGCTACAGGTAAATCTATTTAAACCATCAACTTCGCCTAAATTTAATATTTAAAAGGATACTTTTACTGAAGAATCACTTCATTTTAACTAGACCCATCAATTAGACCCATAGATTTGCTGTCAAATACTCTCGGTTGACTTTATTTTCAGTTTGCAATAATGACATCAAATGAAATAGAATATTGCGCTCATAAAGTTTTGTTTCTTTGATCTTCTTGATAATATTTAAAGTATAATGGAATAACCTTCTTTGATTCCTGTCATTGATATTCTGTCATATTTTCCAGGTACAGTGAGTAAAGATGATGATATCCAGATAACAATGAGTACACCAGTTCAACCATTTAAAGAAGATGAGAGTCCAGGACCACATTCTATAGAACTACCAGGTGCTATTACTGACTACCACACCATAGGGGGGATACAACATCCCAATTCTCCTAGACCAACAAAAAAAAAAGGAGGAACTACACCCAAGACCACACCTAGAAACACCCCACGGAACACTCCTAGAACACCTAGAGGTGGCATTGTACCAAGATCTATTAGTAATCTTAGTTTAACCAAGAATAGTCCCAGAACACCCAGAGGTGTTGGAGCAAAGAGCATCACACCACGTGGAGCGACTGTTAAACCCATTGATAGCCAGCCTAGAGTAAAGAAGGGTGTTGTTCCAGTTATGGGACCAGCTACTAATGATTTAGGACGGGGTCGAAGGTTACCACCTATTGTAGAATCAGTAATTGCTGCCAATAAAATGAGGAAAAGTATTGGAAATAAAGGTTCTAAAGATGCCAAGAAAGGAATGAATATAGATAAAAAGGTAATAATTATACAATAATAACAATTTCAGCTGAACAACTTTCTGAACGACAATCATAGTTAGAGTAGCTGACTTTTGTGTTAATAGCCAAATACAATACAATATATAATGTTTTTGATTGGCTGATATAAATTTGTCTGAAATTCATCAATTACCAAAATCTGATTAAAAATGAAAATAATTATTGCATCCAAATAAGCTGTCCCAAGTAGAATTTTATTAAAGGTGTGCCTAATATAAGCCTTTGTCAATAAGATCAATAGTGTGAGGACATTTATTTATTGTTTGCCTCTTGTTACATACTCAAATATATTTTAATTTTTAGACAAGGGCTATCGAAAGAGCTGATTCTGCAAAGTCTACAACCTCAAGAGAAAGTATAGATTCTTTTACCAATTCACGTCCCAAATCAAGATCTGTATCATTCCGTCAGGATGTAGAGGCCAAGAAGAAAGCCAAGAGAATGAAATCCATGTCTTCAATGAATCAGGTAGATAGAGAATTTTAATACCCAACATTTGGCTAAGAATATCAGGGTTGGTTCTACTAGATTGAAGTAGAACCATGGTAAATTGCACCAATAAAAATCATGAGCAGCCTTGACAATGAGACATCCAATTTTGAAAGAACATGTCAAATCATAAACTAATTATCTAGATACAGAGATTTCAGGCATGGCAAGGTTAATTCTTTAATTCCAGGTTAACAGAATCACTTAATCTCAAGAAATGATTCATAAAAAACTTTGGTCATGTAGTCTCATTGAAAGGAATAACAAGTTGGAAATCTAGTTTAAGAGGTTCTTGAATGGCCAGTATCATTTGTGATCATGGCAAAATAATTATTGAATTGTTCCTACTATGAGTTTCATGATTTGATTTCAGTCATTTGATGAAGACGAGATAGTCCTTCCACCCAATATTTCACAGATGAAAATCACCCGAGTTGATATTCCAGCCCTGGCATTAAGAACAGCAGAGTCAGAAATGAAACTTCAAGATATGGATTCCAATGCACCTAGTCCAAAACAGATGGTAAGTGACTGCAGTTTCCATGGTTACAGAGAGAGTGCTGAGCCTGAGGTTAGATCTAGTTATCCCAATCAAACTGAGTTTGTTTTTGATGTGGCGTCTGGTGTTTGGAATAAAGGTGGAGAACATTTTGATGATGATCAGAGAGACTTGGATGAAATGGATTCAAGCCTGTCATACTTTGAAACTGAGTCGGACATTACTACCACAGAAAGTTCTATTTATTCTAAAAGATCTTTAACTGTGTCCAATCTTAGTCGACACAATTCAGCTCGCTCAGAAGAACACGAGGGATTCGTAAACACTTGGCTTGATGAAGTGGATGAAATCTCCTTATCTTCTTCTCCCAAAATGCCAAGTCCAGTTTCAGTGAGCCTCCAAACTGAGGATTCGGTACAAAATAATTCAATGTGTCAACAACAAAATATTGAGAATGATAATGTGGAAGGGAAGTTACCAAGAGTTACTTCTATGAAAAGTGGTATCCGCAAGAAACGCCCTCTTAATTTTTGGGTTTCAATGGCAAAACCATCAATACTTTATACCAGGGATTATGTTAATAAATTCAAAAGGAAGTTATTAAATGATGTCAGCCCTAAAAATGTTCAGTTGGAATCTTGGGGATAAGGTGTCAATCTTTATACCAGTTTGATAAGCATTGGCTCAATTTACATGTATCTTGCACCATTTTTAAATTGAATGCTCTTTAGCAAAATACAAGCTGTACAAATATGAGACTTGGGTTTCGAATTTTTTGATTTTGGCTCTGAGCCTTTTGTTTGATGTTTACATTTGTTGGAATTTTCTCATGTTTTAATACATGAAATGTAAATTAAAATGTGAAAAAATCATAAAGACATTTTATTTTCAAGCTTTTCTATTGGACAACTTGTTTTGTATACTGAAAAATATATGAAAATTCATTTTTAGAGCAAACCTGCAAGGTCCAATTAAAGAGTTTGTAAAATGAATGAATTGAGTTATAAAATGTAAATAATAAATGTATTTGGTACCTTGCAGGTTTGGTCTACAGATGACAATGATAAGGTGGAAGATGTAGAAGCAGGAATAACTATCAGAAAAGTTTGGTTGGAACCAGATGACCCTACAGAAGAAATCTGGGCCCGTGTTTCTAGTTTATGGAGGTTAGGTCAAACATGGACTGATAAAACTATCAATATGTAGAATAGAATATTTTATAAGCCCTGCATTCAGTAAAACACAGTATTTCTTAGTGTTTGTTGTTGTGAGTGTAACAGGTAACTGAAGGAAAACAAACTGTTTTATTGAAACTGAATGCAGGGCTGGTTTGAAACTCTCATGGTTTTCATCATATGTACTATACAGAAAATTCAGAGCACCAATTTAATCCTTCAATATTTATCACTACAAGTACCAAAATTTTCATATGAAAACTTACTTACATTTTCAAGTATAAAGATGAAAACCATGCATGCAAACAGCAGTGCTTTCAATCAATATGTTGACCAGGTTAGCCTAGGAGCAAGGGTAACTTTACAGTTCATTTCAACCGTTGATGGATGAAAGCTTGCTTATCCTACCCATCTTAACATTGTAGATATAGATGTAAACATTGTTTTATTTAAGTTATTTTCTGTTGATTATGAAATGTAAATATGTATTTATTTTTATCATTTATTAAATATTTAAACCAATTGAGTTCTGTTTAAACTTTTACTTTCCCATACATCGATAACAATTCAACAGAAACAGTTTATGGTTATTTTTTGCATATGATTGCAGACCATCTTCACTCAAGATACTATCTTGGTGAATTCAAGCACTAGGCAGTGATTAGTTATTTAACACTGCCTTCTAGGTAATCTGGAATGGTTTTTGAAATTCACCCTTCATGAGCATAAATATATTCTAAAAAAACACTAATCTGTTGAATTTTTTGAGTTTTTTTAGACAAAAAAAAAACAAGCAATGATAGAAGTTAAAAACATCAATTGATTTTTAACAATCATTAACATAAATCAATTAATGAAATATAATAATTTTGTTGAAATAATTGATGCATACATCTAAATATCTGTCTTGCTCCCAGAGCTCGATGTTAAAGATACACTTTTTGCAAGGAAAATCCATTATCCGTTTGTTTTAGTCAAATATACAGAAAGAACACAAGTGATGAAAGTCTAGTTTTACAAGCGATTATTAGCATATTATTCAATGCAAATAATACCAATTATTTCAAAATATCTATAACATTTGCAAAGAATGTCTATATTTTCATATACCGGTACCTATAACTTTTAACATAAGCTGGAAGTGGGCGTTATCTTGAAGTTTACCAACCAACAGTTTCTTTATCTGCTTTATCACCAAGCGAAGCAAAAATTACAGAGAAAGTGCAGTATGAACAACTTATTACTACAATTTCAATAATAACAGAGAAACAACTTTAAAACAGAGACAAACTGACTTAGAATATTTGATTACTCATACAACCCTTATGTAAAACTATACATTCTATTTAAAAGTTATAAATATATATATGTTATAATGTTTTTAAACCAACATAGTCTATGACTCTATTTGGTAAAGGTAAACTGCTAATAAGATGAAGCTTTTTCATTGTACCTAAATGTTGTCGTATCATCTGTTTAGTAAGATGTAACAGTCTAGCTGGCTTTTCACACTCGTGTTTGTCACGATATTCATAAATCTCCTTAATTAGAGACACAACTGATGGATAATATTGACACATTTCCTCTAAATCAATTCCCTCCAAGCTTGCATCAGATTGTACCAACAGACGCACAACACCTGCAAAGGGAGACAAACACTGAGTGTCCTCTTCACATTCGGAGGTTAATAAAGTCACCAAGTTATCCCTGGAGTTTGAGACAGACCCATCCTCGGTTGATTCTTCAGCTATACAAGGAGTAAGATCACTTGTGTTGTTAACTGGTGACGATTTCATACTCTTGGAAGCATAATTTGTACATAATTTATTGATGACACCAATTGGAATTTGTTTTGTTGGTTCCATATTGTTTACTGTCAGTTGAAGTGCCAGGGCAAGAGGTGTATTCCATGCAAAATTTGACATATTTATAGGTGTATTTTTTGAAAACTTAGTAATGTTTGGATCTGCACCAGAATTTAGCAATGTCTCCACTATAGAAATCATATTGTGACTAAAGACATAGAGGTCACTTGTATTACTAGTACTGGTAGTAGTTTCATATCGCCCACTACATGTATGCATCATAGACTGAAGACTCAACATTAAAGGTGTGTTACCCCCAGAATCTTGAATATTAATATGTCTTTTTGGTTTATAAGATAGCAGTAACTTTATAATATGAAGATCATACTTCATCACTGACATGTGTAAGGGTGTGTACAAACTACCACCACATCTTGTTATAAACTGTGACTCTGCAACATGTGGAAATATCAGCTCCATAGTTTGTTTATCACCAAGTTCAGAACAGTATAACAGAGTTGTTGTCCCTTTATTGTCTTTAATATTTACATCACAGCCCTTCTTTAATAAAGTATCCAGTAACAAAATCCCTTCATTAATCTCTAAATTAGATGATTTCATTGATTCTAACACAGTATGAATCAAACGACCTGTTTTAGTAGGTAAATTTGGACTGCATCCATTGTCCAAGAAAACTTCTACCATGTCTCTGTAACCTAGTTGACAAGCCAATAAAACTGGATTACTTTTCTCTGGATTCCTTTTCTTGATGTCTAGAGTAGCCCAGCCTGTATCATCTTCACTGTTAAACATGATATTCAACAACAATTCTTTATCTCTCAGACGTATTGCATCTTCCATTGTAGGAGTAGCACTTGATTTCTTAGCAGGTTTCGTTTGGCATCCACAAGGAAGGTACATTGAGGTTTTGGATTCCATTTTCTTAAACTTAACAGTGGTTTTTCGAAGACGTGATAACAGTCTTCTTTTATTCTTTTTCTCATCAACTTGTACAGAATCATGATGATCTTCAGATAGTAAAGGTCGGAAAGTTCTTACAGTCTGAGAAAATGCACAACCCATGTTGACGTGAAATTGAATTTATTTATTTATTTCACTCCAACAAGCCTGATATAGACTTCAAATGACTACATTCCGATACATTACAAATCTGAAATACAGAAGTCAAAAAATACTAGAGACTTAAAACATAAGTTAACATGTCCTACATTTAGTATCTGAATCTGTTCTATCAAAATAGGCCTAAGCCTGATATCATTCATTGATACAGGTATCTTTATTTCACTCAGATGGAATTAGTAGGCATATACACTAGTATAACTCTGAGATAGCAATGCCAATTATCTCATGCCACTCCAAAGACAAGGGAGTCCACGTCAAGACAACCCCAGTTTATCGGTCCAGCCTTGAAACTGATATAAATTTAAAGCTTGATGATACTCCATCAAATATCTAATTTTCACTGATTCAGAGATTAATCATTAACTACTGACAGCGAAAAAAATTGCACTTTTTACCCTTCTTTTATTCTACACAGGTAGGAACTGCATTTATGTCATTAACATCGTTATTATGAGTCAAAAGTCTAAATATGTAAAAAAAAAAATATTTGGAGAGCTGTCAAATGATCTTCAATATAAAAGATAAGATTGGTCATTTTATCTATACAAGGGCAAGTAACTATGTTTGATTTTCCGCCAGACTACAGTAATTGATCTGATCCAGGGTAAATAAGACACTTTTTCTTCATAGACCTAGGGCAAAAGAATATGCTCTTATCCTTTGATACCAAAGATTGAAATGTTCTGATCCCCCTACCTCAGATCCTATCTAATGTTGTCTGGTAAATGTGGTATTCAGACTTGGACATTGATAATCTGAAATCCTTTAACACAGACTATGTTTAAAGTTAGGATTTAGAAGATCATCACCATTTTATACATAATAGTAATAGTCTGAAGGGTTATTCTGGATATATTGAGTGCAGGTTACATAACAAACAAGGACAACAATATATTGATGTGTTTATTGTGATGAACATGTGTTCAATATAAAACATAATAAATACAATTCATTTATACATAAATACAGATATATAACGTTTAACTACTGGCTAAAAGAGAAGCCCATTTAAAGCTCTATTCATTATAATAAAACCTGTGTATTATATCTACTACTACACAAATATATATATTTTTGAGAATTGAACTTTTTCAAGTATTCGAATTCAAAATAGACTGCTTTTGTTTCTGTCTGCAATGTTCTTAGATGTTCAAAAATAGCCTTTTCAGATTATGGTATATATTCCATAGACTTCCATCATGAACTATCTGGAATATTATCTACTGAATCAACATAAATTCTACACATACCCCTGATGAATTGAAGCAATTAAAATTTGTCTATTGAACTAAATTCAGATTCTACAGTGTATATCAATAAATATATATTAAGTAATATTATATAAGGTATATAGATATGAGTATTAGATATCATAATATATGTGGACCGAATAAATTCTTATTTTTGATTGGTTATAGATGATCAGCTTGATTTTAGAACATTTATTTATTTTACATATTGGATTTTGAGCTGAAGTGATGGAGTTTTATGCTGCACACAAGTGCATTTCAAAATATGAGACACAATGAAAAAATATTTTGGTGGCAGTTTAGTGACAGTGTGAAATTATCTAGCTTGCACATCAATCTGGTGTTTTTGGTAATGAACAAATTCATACTAGGGCTTCAAATATTTACTGTATGCATAATAGTATGTTATTGAAAATACTTGGAGTTCTGTTTCTGAACTTTCTATGGCTCAACCATCTTCATTAGCCCACATGGTTCAGAAAACCAGGACGTAAAACTCCATTCATTTCATTTTTTTTATAGCTCACGCATCCTATCTTAATCGTTATTTTAAAAAGATACAGTTTGCTTTATCAGCTCATAGAGCTTAATTTTCATCTATCTGTATCTCTTTTCACAACATGTTCTTACTGATTGTGAGAGAACCAGATATCAAATTTTACTCTGAAAGCTAAAAAATCAAGCTTTATAAGCTGATAACACATTTATTAAGACAATTTTTTTTTGAAGAAATTAAAACGTATATCAAGATAGATATTTGTTGAAGAAAATCAAGAAATTAGAGATAAATTAAAATATCACAGTAATATATTAATTTAAAATCATCTCTCTGATGAAACTTGTAAATCTTCCATTTCTAAATGACCCGTTAATTTAGACACTCCATTGTAATGTCCATTAGACGAATGATGACTGGATTTCAACTCTCCTGAACTATGTAACGAACTTCTGAAATATAAATAGTACCCATTGATATATCAGATAGTTTACAACAAAACTGGTTATCACATTTCTGTTCATTCTTTTAAATCAATCAATTTGATGCTTTAAATAATATAACAAGTTCTGTCCATTCATTGATAAAAAGGATTTTATAATATAAATTTATGGCTCATACTAAAATAATTCTTAAAATATGAGGTCACTTATGCAAAAGCCCTGTAATTTTACCAGCTGCTTTTGCAATAGCAATGTTCTTAATTGCTTAGCTGAAGTAGAATTGCAAGAAACACAGACGTCTGGCAGTTTAAATCAATGCTATCATTACCCCCCTAATCTGATACATATAAAAAGTTTTGAAAACTTAAAGTCATCTTCATCAATTG